AATTTAAATGACCACCTGTTATCAGCCAAAATATTTATATATTTGGAAAAGGAATGTTCCACGTCGACAGAACTTATTGGCGCAAACTTAAAAAATGGTAGGTCACTACTACTAATATCTGTAGGCAAACCGTCCATTGATTCATCTTGTCCATTTAAAATGTTTGATATTTTTAGTAGTTGATCAAATCCAACTTTTTTTTCCAAAACCTTTTTTATTTTTTCATCAATTGCTTTAGCTTGTGCAGATCCTTGAATTTTTGCAGAATGTAAATGTTCTTTTGCAATTTTAATTATTTTAATGAATTCAGTTAGTGCCACGCCTTGGGTTTCAAGTCGAGTGATAGATGAAGATATAAATCCATAATTTGACAAAATAAAAACTAAATTTGCTTCCAAATTATTGGATTTTAAAATTTGTTTACATTTCTTGATAGATTCTGCATCGTTTTCAGTAAGCATATCAATTACGCGTCCAATTATTTTAAAATGATTGCAATAGTATGAAGCCACATCTATCCATGTACCCCACCTGGTCAAAATAGGCTGTGGAGGTAATGGAATATCAGGTGCAACAGATTTTAATATTTGAATACGTGACGGTGCCTTAAGAAATGATTTTTTTACATTGGATACGAGTTGATCGACGTTTTTATACTTATACTCCTTCATATAAATAATTGTCAAATATGCACTTATAAAATGAAAAATGGTCAAATATGCACTTATAAATGAAAAATGGTCAAATATGCAAAATATGCAACTATAAATTTTAAATATAAACTTGTATTGCTATGAAACAAATTTCTATATTAGTTAGCTATGTTTTTGATGAATTTTTAAAAACATGCAAACTCCTAGAAGTCCCGAGCCCTAGTAATGTGTATATTAAATTCGTTTTCCCACAACCTGAAGGACCCACGATAAGTGATCTTATCGTATTAGGTAGAAGCGCCCCATGTCTTTGTTTTTTATACGAAGTAGGTGGGTCCACGTTATCAACTGTGAGTTGTATATCTTGTTTAAGTAATTTCATTTTTAAATAAATATCTCTGTAATACTGCGAACTTGATCAGTACACGATGTCACTCGCTCGAAGAAGGAACAACAATAAAGGTGCTGGTCTTATCAACACGCTTATAAACAAATTATCGCTAGAGCTTCACGTGCCTGGTAAGATCATAATATGCGTATATTATATTAGTAATAATAATAACATTTCTCTCTCTCTTTAGGTTATCAATATCGTGGTCCTGGTACAAATTTAAAAAAACGGATAGCTCGTGGTGACAAAGGTTAGGTTATACATTGCGTATGAAAATAGGAATTATTTCGCAGATCGTAACAAAGCCGATTATATATTAGAGCAGCGAGCCAGGGATAGGTTTAAGGCTAAAGATTCAAATTTAAAAGAGGAAGCTGTAGCTTGGGGCTTGACAACCGCCATGAAAGCAAAGCGTAAAATCGGGGCTGGATGTGGGTTTAAAGCAGCCATAAAAGCAGCTAAAAACGCTATAAAGAAAAATATCGATGAAAAAAACCTGATGAAATTAAGTAAAAAATGTCTAACCGTCGCACGAAAAACATTCAGAAAAAGAAAAACTAAAGTTCCAAGGATTATAACAATTCCAAAAAAGGGCGGGGTGTTACCACTTATTTCCTGATTTATCGGCAATTGGAGCACTGACTGGCGGCGTTGCCAACGTCGTTAAGTTGGCTAATGAATTTAAAAGGAACACGCCATTGCATTTAGGTGGTGGGTTTATATCTCGCACCGTATAAAGGCCACTCGTACAAAATCGGGTCTGGTGCTACACCATTTAAAAGTGGTGGGGGTTTAAAACCGAAAAAAAACTAATATCTACGTTACCCAGAAGAGCACTGTACGATTACGAACTAATAAAAATCGCTCGTTTAATGAAATGCCCCATTTCATCGGTGTATTTACAAGAGACAGGTTACCCGTACGTCGTAAACGAATAGAATCAGCGATTGTTAACTTGGACTCGAAACACGGTACAGCCGTACAGGTACTCACTGGGTAGCGTACAAAAAAATAGGAAATCAAGTTCAATATTATGACAGTTTTGGAAATCTACCACCTCCATTAGAAGTAGAAAAATATTTTCACGGGTGTAACATCAATTTCAATTATAGCAGAGAACAGAAATATAATACTACAAACACTTGTGCTTAAAATTTTTATCATGTACACGATAATATTGAACGGGAACTCGAGTGAATTGTCATGTGACATTTTTCCACCGTTGGAAGTAGGAAGCACAGCACAGATATTATGTCTTTTGAGCTTACAGACAAATAATTCGATACCAAACATCCTGAACCTGGGTGTAATACTATCGGGTTTCGTGATATTCTAAATGAAAATGAAAACGTTATTATACCTACAGGCACTTACGAATTGGTTCATTTAGAGACTATTATACAAAACATGATGCCTGATTTTGTCAATTTTATCGAGTTAAAAGCAAACAGCAAGACATTAAAGTGCAGTATATCGTGTAGTCATGATTTGGACTTGAGTGTCGAGAATAGTATAGCGAAATTGCTAGGCTTTCGAAGTGTTCTATACACTACTGGTGCCACTCACGAGTCTGAAAATATCGTCAACATCATGAAAATAAACTGTATTAAAGGAGAGTGCAACTTAATTACTGGCTCATCCTGTGACGGAGCTCAGAGTCAGACTATACACGAGCTTTATCCGTCTGTGCCTGCTGGGTATAAAATCGTTGAAGTACCTAGACATCTGGTTTTCTACGGTCTCAACACGAGATCAGTAACCAGAGTAAATATTGTGCTAAAAGACCAAAACGATTGCCTGATAAATTTGCGCAGTGAACCGATAACAGTTCGTTTACAAATAACGCGTGGATATGGCGCTCAAGTTTAATATAAAAACCAGTGCAATCAAAAAACCTGTCAGTTTACCGCCTGCCGTTAAGAAGTCAACATCTATGTCAAAATCGAAAAAAACTATTTCTAAACCAAAAAAAAACAAGTCCAAGCTCACTAAAAATAATTTAAATTTTGTCCGTTCGTTGCAATGATGGATGACACGTATTTAGACGTCACAGCCGACTATGTCGACGAGTGTAAAATAACGCAAATGAATTATCATTCATTCACTCCGTACTCAAACATGTCTTTATCAAATAACGATGAAATCAGGATAAGTGTTTTGAATATGGACTCATACACTTTACCGTGCGAAAGCTATATTTACATCGAGGGTAAAGTGAACAAACCTACCGATGCTGTTGGTGACGTACGTTTTTCAAATAATGGATTGGCATTTTTATTCTCTGAAATGCGATATGAAATAAACGGAGTAGAAATACAGAAATTAAAATCACCTGGAGTTTCGTCTTGTTTGAAAGCATACTGTTCGTATACTCCAAACGACTTGAATGCACTAGAAAACGCGGCTTGGGATTCAGCGATGGATAGTGAAGACAATAAAAATTGTATGTCCAACGATGTATTTACCGGGTGCAGTGTTGGGAAAGATAACCAATATTTTTATCTAGATTAAAGATAAAGATAATGACTAAAGGCGTATCTAAGATAAAGATAAAAGATAATCTTTTAATTATCTAGATGATATAAAAAGATAAAAGATAAAAGATAATTATTTAAAATAACATTGAGGGTCTAACTCTTGGCTATCTTTTTAAAATAACTTTTTTATTTAATGACTTAAGGTTTGATGGAATATTCCTATTATTCTTAAAATGTAATAGGTAAATAAATGATTAACGGATGTAGATTAATTTAAACTATTATTTATTAAGACCTACCTATATCTTAATATTTGTACAAGTGGTTCTTACTAAGTGGCCTTACATTATTCATAATTTTTTAACTAAATTTAATTTGGCTGTATAAGTTAACATTAAGTTGTATGAAGATAATATACTAGTATATAAAATATGGTTGTATTAGAATTTGTATTAAAACATTTTTTAATGTAATAATTTAAATTTTAAAATACAAATATAAATAAGTAAGTAACTTTTCATTCTTGAAATAGTTATATCATTATTCATTGGATCTCATATTCATAATTATGTTATGTTGCTTAATTTTACAAATTACTACTAATGCATTAGGTTTAGGTTATATATTTAATATTTAATAAAAACAATTTATCATATTGCACACAATATTATTTTTTAATTTAACAAATTTTAATCAAGTATCCATAAAAACAGTTTATAGTAAATATAATAGGTACCTGGTACCTAATAGGTATATAAACAAAAAGCTTAAATCATATTTAGTAATAGTTATTTAATACAACAGTGCAAAATATAATTTATAATAAAATAAAAATATTACAAATGAAAATCATAATCATAATTGAAAACATTATAACATTATACAGCAAAGCATAATCACAACAAAAAACATAATAATTTTAATGATAATAGTTCTAATTTTAATTCATAACAAAATATCAATACCCATTAGAATTTAAAATCACAATTCAAATACATTTAGTCTTATACAATATAAAGAAGAATTATTGTGGTTTAACATAAAAAAGATCCTTAAACATTTAAATATCTTAAAGATTTATTCTTTTTTAAGTATAATAATATTTCAAAATTATTATCATTTAAACGGTTTCTAGTTGGGCATAAGATTTGGTTACCTGCACTAAATATTCTCTCTACCGGTGCAGAACTAGGTAAAGTTGTGTTATATTTTAAAAATATATTTTTAATTACGTTGTACTTATGTAGACAGTTCAAATATCTATTTTTTGAATCTAAATATAATAAGCCTTGCACTAGACCTATATTTTTTTCATTTTCATCAACAGATGAAGAATTTTGTTCAAAATAATTAGAAAAAAAATCATTATTAGAAGTGCGGGATGAATTTGAAGTGTCACTTAGACATTCATCATTCTCATTCTGTAGACCATGGTATTTACATTCTTCTAAAAATAAGCGTCTACAAACATCAATGTACCTACTCATTCGGTATCCAGGACAATTTGAACTTTGGATGAGAAATAGCAGAAATTATAAATGTTTTAGATGATTCTTTTTCTAAATCAATGATATAGCTAAAACGGATTTTAAAGTTGTTTAAAATTGTATCCTTTAAATGTTGACAATGTTTCAAATGGGAAATTTTATCTGACATTATAAATAATGTGGGTAGTACAACTCCTAAAAAGCAATTCTTTTCCCCTTGAAAAATGTCTAAACTAATTGCAATCGGTTCCATAATTCTTACATATTCTTCAAAAAATTCTATTTCTTTAGTTTTTAACCTAGGTATATTAAGTTTTTGAAAAATATTATTTAGACAACTTTTATACTGTAATAATTTATTAACAGAGTTATAAAATGAATTCCATCGAGTAATTACTGGAATTGGAAATTTACACTGAACAATATCTTTTACTACATCTAAAGCTTTTGTACTGCGACGAAGTAAATTCCAAAATGTATGAGCTTTATCAAATGCATCATCATATAAATCTTTATATGAGTTGTTACTTTTAGCTTTGTTACTATCACTTACTGCTAGTAAATTAAGAGTATGAGATAAACAACGAATTTGATTTGGTAATGTTATATCATCAAATTCATTATACATGTCAATATGTAACTCCTGTACTTCAACATTATTTATAATTAAATTTTCTTCATTTGAGCTCTCAATTTCCTCTTCATCATCATCCCATTCATTCATTAAAATTTCTGTATCCCCAACTGTAAGTAAAATATTTGGTTCTTTTTGCGGCACAATTGTATTTGTATTTGTATCATTAAAAACTTTAAATGCTTTAGAAAAATTAGATGCATTATCTGTAATAGTATGAGTAATTTTCTCAACATTTAAATTATTTTCAGTATGAATTTCATATATTAATTTTCCAATATTTTCAAAATTGTGAGAATATTTAATTCGTTTACATGCTAGCATAAAACTACATCTTTCTATTTTAATTTTATCAATGAAATGTACCGTCATTCCCATGTAACTTTTATTGTTGGATGACCAAATGTCTGCAGTGGTGCATACATATTTTTGATTATTTAAAATTTTCATTAAATTACATTTTACAGTATTATATTCGTTAGTTAATAGTTGCATTAAAGATTTTCTACAAAAAATAGTGTACGGATTATTTCTTACTGATAAAAAACGCTCTATCATGGTCCTAAAAGATTCTTTATCGATAGTAGATACTGGGAGCATTTCTTCTACAATGTAATTCAATATTAAATAATTCACCTCTTTTTGGCTTAACTTTTCACTAGTTTTGGTTCCTTGTCTGTTGAAACTATCAACTAATGACAATTGCTTCGTAGAGTTTAAACCAGACTGATTATCAACTTTTGAATTTTGAAATTTCAATTTTTCTTCATTCCACACTTTCATTTTGGCTGAATGAACTTTCTATAATAACATTAATAACATTATTATGACATTTAGTTTTTATAAATGCAATTATTAAATAAAATACGAGTGCTTACTTTAATATAAGAAATAAAATTGCCAGTTGAATGACTATTCCCTTTGATGCATTTAAAACATGTTGTGCATTTCATGACCAAACTATTTGTTTGTTTGTCGAATTTCAAAATATTGTACAAAGATGAATTAAACAGATACGATGTTTCTTTTAGGGGTTGTGCTTGTGATATTTCCAAGGAATCTGGATCTGGATCGTTCATAGTTGTGTCTTCGAAACGATCATGACGAATATACTTATCCATATTTTATTTAAAACGTCCTAGTATATACCTCAAAAGTCAACACTAAACTGTTAACTATTTAGGGTATCCGGTGACCGGTATGCGAAATTTTAAAACATGTCACGGCGCATTTAACCATCCGTCTTCCCCCCGCCTATATAACACTGATATCAATTATGACCACAGCTGCTGCTGTTTAATCACTGATAACGGATGATATTAAAATAATATAAAATACACAGATATAAAATACATAATACAAATAGATATAAATATATCTGTGATAAAATATAATATCAAGAGTTTATCTCAAAAGCTAAATATAGAACTGGAGATAATTAATTTATGTTGATACTTGATTGTTGAGTGTTGACAAATGGGTGAATGTTCAAGTAGTTCAAGTAGTTGAAAATTTAAAAATAAGTTATTTTTTGTAGTTTTGGTTGTAGGTACATAATATTATAATTTGTATAATTTGTATTATGGAGACTGAAAAAAGTAGCAAAGTAAGTTTAAATGTAGTTGATTTAAATATTTCAGTACTCTAATTCAATAATGTTATCATATATTAAATCTTGATCTAATGAAAATCTCTTCCTTAATACTCTTTACCTTCTAATTAGGTAGAAATCTTTTTAGCCAAAACAAAAGGCCTTAAAAAAAAGTATTTTATAAAATTTTGCTATTATAATTAGGAACTATGAATAGATCTAAAGGCCTTGTGTTTCTACTTGGTATATGGAAAGCTATTTCAGATAATAACTCAGAACAGTCAATGAAGTAGTTTAAAATTGACAAAAATTATGTTAAATATTCACTTGTTAATAATCATAGACGTGTCATGATATATAATTTATATTATATTACCTTACAATGTCTTTTGAAAAATTCCTAGACCTTGTACAAAATGTATCATTTCTACTGTGCAACCCCTACGAAGAAAATTCTAGCCATGTCTGTTTTTGTGTAAGTAGGTTAGTAGGTAGGTACATACCTTTGTACAACTGTTCTCAGATTTTAATATATTAATGTTTATGTAATAGGAAATAATTATCATTATTTAATATTGATTTCCCTTTGTATCAAATAGATTTAAACAAATTCATTATTTTGTTATAGTCTTTCAAATGTGAAATTTGTAACTCATTGTTAAAATACCAACACACATTAAAACGGCATAAGCGTGAAAAACATGGTGTGATTGAAAATGTTCAAAAACAAAAAAAAATAAGTTGCTCACAGTGTGAAAAAAAATTTTGTCAAAGAAGAGATATGTTGCGCCATTTAAGAACAATTCATGATAATGCTTATACTGATATAAATATAATGGACACAAGTGTAATTCATAATTATCGTTTCAAAAATTATTTTAAATTTTAATTTAACAGCTAGTATATTACAGAATTTTATTTTGTAAAATATCTATAGATGGTGAACAATTGTGATGTTGAAAAAAAATGTGTGCCTTTGAAGACTCAAGAAAACAAATACCTTCAGGTTTTATTTTATTCTTTAATATATATTTGAATTAAGTAGATAAGTAGGAAGTAAAAAAAAAATCAATTTTGGTCATAATAACAATTCATTTTTTTGGCTACTCAAATTAATTTTTTTTCCTACCTACCTACACTCAGTTTTGGCCACAGATATATATAATAACTTATATATATATCTGTGGTTTTGGCACACCACTACAATTCTCCCCCAATATCGTTTTTATAAACCCAACTTATAACAAGAATTTTAATTTAATATTTAAGCTCACCAAAAGATTGAATTAAAACAATCATATATCCTTATCTATACTTATTATATAAAGAGGAGTTGTTTGTTGCGTTGTTGAGGGTAATCTCTAGAACTACTGAACCGATTTCAAAAATTCTTTCACCAATTGTAAAGGACTAAATGTTTGAATATAATATAGTTGTCCAACTTTAAATATACTTAATAAATAACTATTGAACCAAATTGAATTAAGAACCAAAATATCTGTTTCAGAGTATACTTCCAGAAGGTTATAAGTATAAAATTGTTGAAAATAAAATATTGGAAAATGAACAATTTATTGTAAAATTTGAAATTTATGATTTTGGAATTGAAGATGTATCCCCATGGATATCAGACTTAAATACTAACAGTAAAACAACATATCTAACTTCAAATGTTAGAAAATCAACATCCATAAATGTTCTATTTAAGGTAATAACAATATTAAAAAATATTTTTATAAAATACCAAGTATGGGAATGTATATGAAAACACATTATTAAATAAAAAGAGACAAAGGTTTGTTATAATAACTGTTATCTATAACTTATAGAACCAACTATTATGTATATTAATGACATTCTGAATAAAACCTAGTAAATAATTATTTTCAAAAAACAACAAAATTTAATTTTGAAATGTTTATTATAGAAACGTTACAGTTGTCACCATAACACCAGGCCAAACAAATTTGCAACTCCAAGTCCAAAACATTTTGATTGCAAGGCTACTTTATGTTTAAAAGTGGTTATAGATGGTAAACATTTTCAAAAACAACGTGAATCACAGTTAGTAACATTTTAGTGATAATAAATTTAAATACCTATATAAATAAAATTGCAAATTTTGGATATTTTTAGAAGTGATTATGATTCTGATGAAAATATATTTGTGAATTATAACACAAAAGCAATTATAGATCTTAAACATATTCATAACCATGAATTATTGTGTGCTGATGTATTAAAATACAGAATCCCAACCAAAGAAGTAAAAACACATTTTTTAAAACTATTTGAAGAAGGTAAAACTCCATCAAAAGCTCTTTTTTCATATAAATCACAACTTCGTCTTGAAAAGGGTAATCACTATTATGTTTATGCGGGAGATCGAGGTGAATTGCCAAATCCAGAATGGGTGTACAATCTTTATTATAAAGAATTCAGTAAATATTTTGGTGCTACTCATGGCAAAGAAATGATAACTTCACTTAAAGATGCAGTTGAACAATATAATGTAGAATGTTCTGAAACTTGTGCCCTAATGGAAAATTTTGAAGATGGTAATTTTGTTATTGTAATTGCAAGTCCATTAATGAAAAGAATAAGCTCTGGATTGGACGAAAGTGGGGAAATTTTATTTATTGACGCATCGGGGAATGTCGATCGTTATGGTTGTAAAATTTTCCTTATATACACAAATAGCTGTGCAGGTGGACTACCAGTTGGTACTTTAATTTTAACAAGTGAATCAACTTCAATAATTTCCAGAGGCTTAAAGCTCTGGACCAATTTATTTTCCTCAAGTGCGTTAGGTGGAAGAAGCAAAAGAGGTCCAAAAGTTTTCATGACTAATGATTCAAAAGCTGAGAGAAATGCATTGAATGAAATTTTTCCAGAAGCAACACTTTTACTCTGTATATTCCATGTTTTACAGGCAACATGGAGATATTTGTGGGACTCAAATCATGGTATTATTTTACAACATCGTCAAACACTTTATAATGAAATTAAAAATATGATGTATTCAAAATCGAATGAAGAACTAGAATCATTATATACCAAAGTTATACAGAATACTTTAACCAAAAAGTACCCTAAATTTGAGTCTTATGTTTTAAATCTTTACAAAAGACGTCATGAATGGGCACTTTGTCTTAGGAAATCTATCATAACACGTGGACAGAACACAAACAATATTAGTGAAGCTGGTGTTAAAATTGTAAAAGATACTATACTGGATAGAACTAAGGCATACTCACCAGTATAGCTATTTTTTTTTATAGTCAATGATTTAGAGGCATTTTATGAAATGAAAATATTGGATGTGGCAGCTAATCGCCCAGCACAGTATTTAAAAAAGAAGTTTCCATTAACTAAAGCACAAATCAAACATTTAGAGTACAAACAATTAGGATCTATATTTGAAGTTAAAAATAATTCTAAAAACACAATATATAATGTTGATTTAGATCTTGGTATATGTTCTTGTCAACAAGGAGATACAGGGAAACCGTGTAAACACCAAATGTTTGTAGCAACAGATCTTAAGATTGATCTTTCACTTTGTTTGCCAACCACTGAAAATGTAAGAAAAAAATTACATACAATTGCTACAGGTAGTACAGAAATTGATCCTGGGTGGTACGGAGCACATAAAAAAATAAACACTAGTAATATTATGGAAAAAAGTACAAAAACCACAGATGAACAAGTATTATCAAATAAATTAGAAAAAACAACAGATAATTACTTAACTAAAGAAGGTAGTGAAATGGTTGAAGTCGCGGGTGAAGTAGATCAATTAAATAGTAATATAAACACAGAAGATGAATCTCCAAATGAAAAAAATAATGGACTTGAAGTATTTGATACAGTTGTTAAAAAAGTAAGGGAAGCAATAGAGTCAGACCCAAACTACTTTTTACCAGGGATTAAAGCTATTAATTATTCTTTCAAGAAAAATATAAAAACACACGCAGGGCTTCTTTCAGCAATGATGACCTTTGGAAAGTATTCAGGTATTGATCCCAGTTCTAAGCGAATTAAGCTGGTTGGAAATAAACGGATTGGGACTCAACCAACTGCCAGGCCTAGGAGAAAAACAGAAATAGGTGGTAGAAAAAATTTAACAGCTGGGAGAGTACCCAAATGGAAACGTGCACCTGAACATAGTTATGGACAAGAACCAAAATCTAGCTGTTTACCTAAGAAACGAAAATTGTTTAATCCTGATGTGATTCCAACAAAACAATATCAAAATCCTCATAGTTTAGCACATTGCACATTACAAAATAAAACTTTAGGAACAACTCACTGTAAAAAGTAAAATATAAAAATTAATTTACCTCCAGGATACTTTTATAACAATTAATAAACTGTACTTAAAAAATTGTTGACTTAAATTCAATTTATAGGTAATAAAATATTTTAATAATTTAATAGGTACCAATTAATGTTCCACTTAATTAATAAAGAATATTATATAGTTTTAATGTACTTACCTAAATAATAATTTAATTTTTTATTTCTATTAAAGAAAAAAAAATGTTAAATTTCATATTAATTTTGCTGAAACTATCTGGAGTTATATGTGATAATGTCAGTGTGATTTTGGGAAATATTTTGTTGGAGCATTAGAGTTCCTAGCAATATCATATTTTATGAACAACAACATAATAAGACCATCTGATGTGTGGCTTGTGTGGGTGATACCTAAGGAACAATTATTATTTATTTAGTACTAAACACAATTTAAAATATCTAAAATAGGTACTTATATTGTGGTGCCTACAACAGAATAATCAATAAATACATTTTAGATATAATGTTATTATTTAGTATTTACCCTTAAAGTAATTTTGTTGAAAATCCTATATAGAAGGACAGGAGGTGTGTAATTATTATATAGAATCGATGTATGAGTAAAGAAAATAAACACATTTACATTTTTTATTTCCATGATATAGATATTTAAAACATACTAAAACACAAAATAGGGTCACAGGCAATAAGTTGTTAAAATTCAGACAGGTTAATATTACCACAGACTACCTATATAAACAAAATATTTTTATAGTGATACCTTTAACAGGACCTACTGAAGCAAAAACAGTGATTGGCTGAGTACAATTTGTAGCGAAACTATTGAATAAAAAAACCAAGCCATGATTGGCTTTTAAATATATTAAATATTCTACATAAATATAATACTAACATAATATTCTATATATATGGTAATGTCTGTGAGTTTACACTCAACCTTTCACGAAGCAATATTTCATCATAAACTAACATTCCGTACTTTTGTTCTGATCTGAGCACAATCAAATTTTTTTTCATTAATTAGAAAATTCATTTATTTATATTAATTTATCATCAAACCCACACTGTGTCTTAACTAATGATAAATATTTTCTTATTGTACGTGGGCAAGGTAATGGCAAAATTTCCTGTTGTCTAAGAAATTAGTAAGTTGAAGATGACTTTTTAAATAACAAGTTTATAATTACATTTTACATTATTGGTTAAATTTTATTTTTACATACTGAATATAAAATACTTATTTAAGTTTAAATTTACAAAAAACAACAGTTAATGTTTAAATTAAATACCTACGTAGTATTAAAATGTTTTAAATGTTTCTTTTCCCTTAAAATTGATTTTAGTACATCTTATCTCGTTAGAGTGAGAGTTGATTCAATGTAAGATATTTATTTTCTACCAAGTTAGCAGTTCACACATATTCCTAAATATATGCCAGAGTAGGTATAAAAAAAATAATTATAAAAATAGGTATAAAAGCAAATGGTTTTAACTTTTATTTTCAAAAAATTTTATAGCTTATTTGATTTGGGTCAAGAGGATTCTGTAATTATTAAGTATATTTTGTAATATTTCATTTTAAATATTTGGTTTATAAAATTAAATTTAATTTAAACCGCAATATATGGCCCATCCATCAGGCAAAAATGCTTTAGCCTTGTTTTAATGACATCATTTAATGAAAACAGTTCATCAGAATATCAGATACTTTCTAGTTTCTAATTGAAATAAAAAAACTTATAGGATTTTAAAAAATATGCAATATTTTAATTATTATTAAAATTATTAATACACACATTTAAAAACCATATTTAAGTATTTAACTATAGTTAAAGGTAGTAAACTGTATAAATGGTACATTCCTTTAAACGATTGTATGCAAATTTTTTAGAATATTTTATAAATAAGTACATGTTATAATTTATATTAATTAATTATAATACCATTTCAATAATACCATCCGTTATCCGTTATCAGTGATTAAACAGCAGCAGCTGTGGTCATAATTGATATCAGTGTTATGTAGGCGGGGGGAAGATGGATGGTTAAATGCGCCGTGACATGTTTTAAAGTTTCGCGACCGGTATATTTATATTTTATGGTGTTGGACTAGTTGTACTAGACGACAATTTATCTAATGTTTGAGGTTAGGAAAGATTGTCGTAAAGAACTATTTTACTTTATATTATATCTTTTATTAGAGATTATAGCATTTACAGAGAGTAGTGTTCGGCTAATAAATTGTCAAATACGTCAATTGTCTAATTATTGTTACGTAATACTATACTATTCCCTCGAATTAACAATATTAATAAAGAAATAATTATAAACATACAATCAGCTGTCACTTATAATTTGTTCTATGTTTGCACTATACATGATTAGTAAATAGTAATAATAATATTCGCATTTACAAAAATCCGTCTGGTTCAACGAATTTAATATTCTGGCTATTGGCTAATATTAGTGGTTTTTCCAATAGTCGATTGAAGACATACATCGTTATCGTCGTTATCGATTATATTTATAATAAGCAATTCAATTATTGATATTATGTTAGTTATTACCCCGTCTCAGTTAAACATATCAAATGTTAATCTATGATTAAGACGATTATGACAAACGGGCTAAATAAAATAATTAAATCTTATTTTAACAAAAAAAAAAATTAAAATTAAAAAAAAAATCTCTAGTTTGCTCGATTTAACATCTATTATCTATCGAAAGAAAAAACGCAAAAAGATAAGTATAAGATAAAGATACTCTGGATTTATCTTGTTAAAAGATTAAAGATAATTTTGACGTTATCTAGATTATCTTTTAGATAATTTTATCTAGATAGTCCCAACCGGGTGTATACCTCTAAAACATTTATTCGGATTTTGTGAAGACTATAAAAAAATATTACTTAATTGGCAACTGATTTTAAATCGCGCATCTAGCGATCTTTATGCGATACACGTTGTTGGTGCGGGTGCGACTGCAGCCGTTGATAAAAATAAAAAAATAAAAATTGAACTTACTAAGGTGACTTGGAAGATGCCTATTATCAAAGTCAGTGATAAAGAAAAATTAAGACTGATATAAGTAATGGATTCTCATAGAACACTATCGAGTGCGTTCAGAACTTGGGACCTGTGCGAATACTGTCCACTTAAATTCTGAAGTGTATCCGTACGAAGACTTTCGTGCAGATTTTAAAAATAATACAACTAGTATTTTGTATAAGGCCTATACAGACTTTCAAAAATCGTATTATGAGCGAGATTATTTCGAGCCATTATTATCAAAACACATTTTTCAAAACTACGTTCCAATCGTCGTAGTTGATTTATCACGTCAAAACGATAATGTGAAGTCGTCGACCATAGATCTACGTATTGAATTTGAAACGGATACAGTTATTCCAGAAAAAACTGCAGCATATTGTTTATTACTACATGACCAGATTATAACTTACAACCCGTTTAGTGGCGATGTTAGAAAATTGTAAACCTTGTAAATATTTTATAACTATTTTATACCTTGTAAAGTTGTAAATATTTTATACCTTATAACTATTTTGTGCCTTATATTCTAATAAATGAAAAAACTTGTTTTAAGTATCACGCTTGATTTTTTATTTTACACAAAAATGATGTACAAAAAATTAAAATAGTTGTCTTTTAACTTTGCGAACCGGTGTTGGATGCTCGATGAATGTTGATGATGGTGGTGGCGTAATAAATTGGGATGGTGATAGTGCCATGAAAAAATCTGGTCCGTCGTTTACGTCGACCGATTGTTGATTAGAAATATCGTCTGGTGTCTGCGGGCCGTCAATATAATCTAGCGACTAGAGAAATAAATATTAAATAATGTTTTTATAATAATATGATTATATAAATTACATATGATGGTCTGGCTCTGAGTGTTGCGTATGTAATTGAATCTTCGTGAATGCCGAATATGCTCGGTGGTAACATAGGAGGATCTACATTCTGCGACTAAAATAAACTTGTATTAAATAGGTATTTAAATAATAATTATATGAAGTATATATTACCTTAGGCTTAGTGTTCGCCTGTGTAGGGTTAATCCCCTTTAAACATTCTCTGATCGCCCTATCCTCTTCAGCTCCCTATAAATAATATCATTTAATAACATTTAATACTTAAATATTTTAATTATAAATTACCCGTGACTGTGAAAGATCATCTTCATTATAGCACGGAGACATACTCGAGTATACCATGGGTTCAACGAAAAATTAAAAATAATAAAAAAAATGTATTGTATTTTTACGAGTGAATAAGTTTTTAAAGACTTACCTCTGGTGAGTTTTCTCCGTACAAACATTGCGCCCAACGTTCGGTTAATTGAATAGTTGCATTTATTTCGAGTTGACTGATGAAATTCATGTCTTCTTTAGGAGTGGATCCAATAATTTTATCGTCGCTTAAAGTTTTGATAAAAATGATCATTTCTTCATTTGTTTTTGGAGGCGATTTCACATTGGTAAATTCCTGGTCTAAATAATTAGCAATAGTCTCAAACTGCTTTAAGACGACTGGTCGTATGATGATCGACTTTCGAACGACTGTTTCGAAAATACTCCATTCTAAATATTGTAATTTCATTAAAAGTATTTTTGTGGTGAGTTGAGTATAAAAGATAAAATATTCCCCATAAGTTAGAATATACGTCGTAGAAAATCAGCTGGCATGTTTACATATCGCGAAGGAGTAATTACTTGTACTATGGTGCTAAAGTCATCTGTAGGATCGAGTCCTACATTCAAAAATTTATGGCCTGTGAAGTTGAGGACGAAATTACTGCAGTCAATCAGATCCGCGGGCGGTGCTGGAGGCACATAAGTGAACGTCTTCTTTTTGTATAACGCAGCGTTGTCTTTGATTGATCCAGCCATGTTTACACACTTTTTAAAATAAAACTCACAACATTTTTAAAAACGGCAGCGAACGAGCGAACGTGTATAATCGTTTAAGGCAGTAAACGGACTAAACGACTACCGGCTCTTTCAGCCATGGGTCTCTAGACATTGTATAAGTGGGGGGGGGGCATTCCTGTTTTGTGTACGCATGCGTGGGTCAAACCGGGAGGGTTCAGAGCGGCTGAATTCATTTTATGGTATTAAACGTGTACATTGAATATTATTTGGTGGGGGGACTTCTGCATGTCTCTGCAGGGATATTCCATGTTACTAAGGTATCTGCCGCCAAAGGATGACCCAATTACACTAAACCTAATGTTATATTTGATGCTATAAATAATATTTTATATTTTTATTTACCTAGTTAATTGAGTGAAAATAACGCTGAGAGTATAAGTGGTCATGTAGCCTAGTGGATTAAAGCGTGATCGTTATTAGATGGGGGTCGAGGGTTCGAACCCCGAATCAATTATTTTGTAGTTTTTTTCCCGTCGTATAATTTTAATTTAACACGTTTAATTGTACACGTCTTGCGCGGATATATTATTTGATAAGTGATAATATGATAAGTGATAATATGATAAGTGATAACACGATAAGTGATAACATGATAAGTGATACGGTAATATATATCGCGCACACGTACGTGACCGGGCGGCGGGCTCAGCGGCTCGACAACGATCAGGGACAAAGCATCAGGGGGCAAGCATCAGGGATCAGGTCCATTGTGCGTTTGAATTGTCTATTTTATACTACTTACAACTTGTTTAAATTTTTATGTCGAATGCTCTCACCAAATATTTCAAAGATTCCCATTTCATTCACCACATATGATTTTTCTAAAACTTACATCTGAAATAAAAAATATAAATTCTTTAGGACAAGTAGTGTCATTTTATGAACAAAAATTAAATATTGATCTCAATGACATAGATAGAGAGTGGAGAAGTTTAAAGACAATGGACCTAAATTTTGATTTAGATGTAACTGAATTTTGGCAAGTTATTATGACTATGACAGACGGAGATGATAAACTTATATATCCTTTGCTAACAAAATTTGTTTCTGTTCTTTTAATTCTACCACATAGTAGTGCTTGCGTGGAAAGAATTTTTAGCACCATTAACTTAAACAAAACAAAAACTCGCAATCGTCTATCTACTGAATCATTATCAGGTATTTTATACAGTAAAAACATAATAAAATCACAAGATAAATCATGCTATAATTTTATTATTTCCAATGAAATGGTTAAAAAGCATACCAATGATATGTATGCATAACTGGATGGTGGTACCTCAAAAAACAGATTTCCTAATAGTATGACACATTTTGTATTTTTGTTATAAAAGTTAAGTTTGTTTATATTCAGTTGGTATATAATACATATTTTATATTTTATTTGTTTTACCTATATTATTATGTAATACCTAATATGTTATATTATTATATTATATTTTTATGTTAAGTTAAAATATGCTTGATTGTTTTAACTTTTTACTGTAGCTCAAAAGACTGAGATTTAATTACATTATGATACATTTTGTTGAAATATTATATTTAATATACAAAAGTATAATATATAAATGAGAAATGTTTTTGTTTAGATTACCTTACACTATTATAGTAGTTATACCATTAGTCATCAGACCATAATATTTTCTATGATATTAAAATATAATAATACCACGTCGATAGTTTCTTAAATCGTGATTAATGGTATTAATACTGAAATCTGTGTTTGTTTATTTAGAATTTACTATCTAGGCTTATCTATTATCTGCGGTACGCCGGTACCTATTTACGAACCATGTTGGTGTTTAATCCAGGACCACAGGTCATAACAATGTTTTTCCTTGTACTTTATAGCACTGGTGTTATCAATTATGATAATTAAATGGTATATTATATGGTATATCATTCAATATTGTGAATTTGTTAATTGTTACGTCTATAAAAAAAAAATAGTAATCTTACATTTTGACCGTCGGCGAAGACCGAGCGAAGCGAGGTCTGAGTGTATAAAAAAAATCTGGAGATTTTTCAAGTATAATCGAAACTATTTGATGAGATTATCGAAACTTTTAAAATTCTGACCTGGCAACACTGACGTTGGTCCAGGACGTTTCTCGTCATCATAAAATGCGTATACGTAAATGCCGCCGTACTATTTTAAATGTCTGCGGGTACCCATGATATACTGATTATAATTTAAGTCACTGCTCACCTTAATATATGTATCATTGTATAGATCGTATAAACTGTATTATAACATAGCTTGATTTGTATTTATTGAATAATTACTTATTCAAATATAATTAAATAAAAAACTTCTATATTACCTATTGCCTATTAGTAATCATACGTAAATTCTTTTGGAGTAGATACAGTATACATATAACTTTTTATTTAAAAAAAAATCAAATACAGACATAATTCATTAATATATACCTATAGGTGTACATACTAATATATAATATAATATGATAACCTAATATATATTATATATTTTTGAAAGTTACTGCTTACCTAAATAATATATTTAGCAATATATTATAGATACCTAGTAAAAACGGTAATACAACATAATATATTGACTTTTAGTCATGGCATTATTACTGATTCAATTATAATACAAAGAATAAAATATATTTATGGATGAAAAATATAAAATGCATCAATAATTCTACGACCAGAACTCCAATAGTATTTATAATGATATATTCATTATTATTATTTATCATACATATTATACGATCACCCCTAACTTTGTGCTCACAACCATACTTACGCGATTGTATTTATGTCGCTATTACTTATTAGATACCGACTTCATGATGTATAATATATTAATTATTAATATAGTATTATTTACTATTAGGTAAATAATAATAATGAATAACCTAAATAGGTACCTAACCCCTCAAATTAATTAATATTTCCAAATACCTACCGTAAAATGGGGTTACTTTGATATTGCGGGGCTACTTTGATAATTGAAGTTTTGTTTTGAAAACATTGATGATAATAGTTGATTATCGGTACAAATTGTCGTTTTTAATATTTAGTCGTTTAGTACAACTGGTCTGGAACCCAAATCTGTTGTTAACAGCACGCTCTTATCAATGATTGTGTGGTGACCACGGCCACCTATCTATAGCCGTGGTGGTGACTTCGGCGCTTATCACCATTTTGCTCAACTCATTCGCCGTTACCATCCGTTTCGCGGAACTTTTATATTATATTCGTATTTATACAACAACTGTGATTTCTAGTATTTATTGTCTTTGTAATTATATTTATGTTCCTCGCTCAACTCGATCTCGCGTCTCCCATTGGCGACTCGTCCTGCAACGGGTACGACGCGGCCGACCGACCGGCCAGCGTTCTCTTTGCTCGTAGCACTCGACCGAGCCACACGTTTTCGTCCGACCCACGACACACGCCCAACGCCATACTTCTCTCGCAACGGCAATCGACTCGAGTAGCGATACGATCTCGATGATCATCGTGTACCTCGACTCGCCCGACCGACCGAACTCATGTCACGACGACGTTCTCGTCTCGCGACGTAGCGCCACGCTCCCTCGATCGCTCGTGCATCGAGCACACCGATTCCGTCGACCCACGCGACCAACGACCGCTCGACCGTCGAATAAATATGCGTACTGCGTACGTACAAACATGTTCTGGTTTCAATATACGTCTTTCGACGCAACCGCGTCAACCAACTACATTGTGTGTTCATTCATTCAAATAACTAAACTTGTGTACCTAATCCTTCCTACAACGGAGTCAGCAGCAGAACGAAGCGCATGTTAGGACAGTGCTGTTGCCCCAACCAACGCAGCGTCAACCACGACGATAAGGCAATGCACATGTTGCTACAATTGTTTGATTTTCAATGTTGATTGATCTAGTTAATAATTAGTACTTTTTTTTTTGGAATTTAAGATCTGCTCCATTTTTTAAATCATATAAATAACATGTTAACCCTAGAGTACACGCTTCACGGTCAAAAAGACCGGGCTTTTTGAATTTTGTTCATTGTTTCAAAAATACGAAATATTAACCTAACCCAATCTAGGTACCTTCTAATTAGATGATAAACTAACATTAGATACAATTCCTAACTGTATACGATTTGTTGCCTGTACTATAGAAGGGTTCAAAGTCCATTACCTATTAAAACACGGTCTAAAAGACCGTGTGCGTGTTATACTGTGACATTGACACACAATTTAATTTTAACTTTCTTATCGCCGATAAGACGTTATTCCTTATCGATAATAAAACGTAAATGAATATTTTATTTTCATTGTGACTGGCAAGATTGTTTTTAGTTGACATTGGTTCGCCATACCGTGTGTAACTACGAGTATAATACAGATAAAACATTTATAAATGTAAGTATCAGTACATTTTATTTTTAGCAGGTATTTTTTTGTTTTAGTCGCACTATATTTTCAATATATTTGTTTTACATTATATTATTTTTTCATTAGAATGGACGACGATCAAATTCGTTTACTTATTGAAAATATTGATGATGGAAATACCGAGTTTGACGAAATCGATGGCAGTGATGAAGAAGGAGTTGATGAGGTAGAATATATAAGTCATAATAGTGATTCTGAACAATCTTTAGACGGTGATTATGAAGATAATGGCACCTATTTATTTTCTAATTGGTCGAACGGACCGCAATTTATAGGGAAAGATGGTAAAACTTTTTGGAAATATTGTCCTCCACCAAAAAATAATAGAATAAGACGACATAATATAGTTAGACATATACCTGGAGTAAAAGGGCTTGCTAAAAATGCAAATAGTGTTGAAGAATCGTGGAATTTATTTTTTCCAGATTCTATTTTGGAACAAATTGTTACATACACAAATATTTATCTTGACCGTATAAGACCAAAGTTTGATCGTTCACGTGATGCAAGACCGACTAGTCTAACAGAAATAAAAGCGCTAATCGGTTTATAATATTTAGCAGGTGTTCATCAGTCTTCTCATGTGAATATAAAGGACTTATGGGCTATGGACGGTACAGGTATTGAATATTTTAGATTATCGATGGGTATGAATCGCTTTTATTTATTACTTCGAGCAATTCGTTTTGATGATATAACAACACGTGCAATGAGACAATCTGTAGACAATCTAACACCAATACGATCATTTTTTGAAGACTTTGTTAGAAGATGTCAAGACTATTATGAATTGAATAATTATGTTACAATTGATGAAATGTTAGAGTCTTTCCGAGGTCGTTGTCGTTTTAGACAATATATTCCTAATAAACCCGCAAAGTATGGCCTCAAAATAATTGCATTAGTAGATTCAAATACATATTATTCATATAATTTGGAAATATATGCAGGGAAGCAGCCAAACGGGCCCTATCACGTAAATAACAGTGCTTGTAGTGTCGTGGAAAGATTGATTAGGCCAATTTCTGGTTCAGGTCGAAATATTACGTGCGATAATTGGTTCAGCAGTATTCCTCTCGCAGAAGACCTTCTCAATAACCATAATTTGACCATGGTTGGAACATTACGTAAGAATAAGAGAGAAATACCACCAATTTTTGTTCAAAAACTCAAAGAGCGGCCGAATGAAAGTAGTATTTTTGGTTTCAAAAAAAACATGACTTTAGTGTCATATAAACCTAAAGCTAATAAAATTGTTTTAGTTATATCAACTATGCATAACGATGATAGCATTGATACTGACTGTGCTAGATCAAAGCCTGAAATGATCAAATTTTATAACTCGACCAAAGGAGGAGTCGACACTGTTGACCAAATGAAAGGAAAGTATTCCGTCTCAAGAAACAGCCGGCGTTGGCCATTGACAATATTTTTTTCTGTTCTAAATATTGCGGGCATAAATAGCCAAATTATTTATGCTAGTAACACTAATGCAAAAATTGTTCGCAGAGAATATTTAAAATGTCTTTCAAAAGCATTAATTTATAAATATATGTTGGAAAGAGTACAGATAAAAAACATTCCAATGAATATAAAAGTTCGAATACGTGAAATGACAAATGCTATAGAGGAACCAGTACAAAAGACGTCAAATGCTCCTGGAAGATGTGCATTTTGTAATTGGAAAAAAAACCGAAAAACATCGAATTTGTGTAACGAGTGCCAATCATATATATGTAAAGAACATACAGCGCCTTCGATTTGCCAAAACTGTTCACAACGAACGATGGAAGATGATTTTTTTTTAGAATAAAATATTTTATATTATTAATAATCTAATATGTAATAAAATTTAAATAAAAGTTTAATTTTTTTATATTATGTATCAATTAAATCATTTGACAATATTTATTTATTTAAAATAAAATCAATAAAATAATTATTATTTCAATTTATCGAGTTTTAATGGAAATATTTCAATACACGGTCAAAAACACCGTGTGCGTGGAATCTCGTGAATATTTTTAATGCGTGTAACCTAGGGTTAATGTAACGGAGACTGAAACACATTGTTCAAAACATGAACTAAGAAGATATGGACTGGTCACGTATACCCATAGAGTAATAAAACTATAGAGGCGGCATTAGGCAGATATTATGATTATCAGATCGAAGCAAAATTGAACGCCATTGTACCCCTCTTACAACTCTAGTGAACACTAGATGTCGTTTTCGACCATGAAATTAAATGGATAATCGACATTATATTTTATTACTCTATGGTCTATGGTGATAACTGATAATAAAAGATTAATGTTTGATTAGCATTAAAAATTATAATTTTAATTTTAATTATTTTTTAACTGTATTTTAAATTTTGTAAAATTGTAAGTAACGCGAGTCTAGCCTAAAATCATCATGGTCAGCTGTATTTTGTGCGCTCGGACTCAGAAACAAAAAAATGAAAACGAAAATATTACATTTCACCATAATATTATTATATATTTGTATATTATAATAAGAACCACTAGTATATATATTTTTTTGTAAAATTTGTTCTTCTTATTTTAAAATTAATTTTTATTATTCCAAATAAAATAATGTGTTAGTATATTTACAACAATTTATTTTTCATATGATGGTTGCACTGCAAGTACCCCGTTTTCGCTTCACTTTTAGAATGATATGGCCACCCCTTGCGTATACCCAAATACCGGTCAGGAAATGTTATGGGTACAAAACCATGCGATAGTAACGCACTCTAGCGGAGAACATATAGAAGTTAATAATATTATTTTTATTTTATTTTAGTAATTTAGTTAGCCTTGTTGGCAAGACGCAAGAACTTTTGAGTCTTGTTCAATCTATGTATGATGAATGATGATGTAGTATTTAATTTATAATTTATTCATGTTTATAACTAAATATACGTTATTGGTACTTTTCTGTACATTTGTGTTTATTTATTTTATAAAAATGGGAAGAAAATGTGCAATTAAATTGTGCACAAGCGCAGATGATACTAGTAAATGTACCTTTTTTAAAGTTCCTAAGACCTCGGTAAATATTTGGACTGATATTGTTTCAAAGGTAAATGGTTTTGCTACAAAAGTTAATTTTGTATGCGAAAAACACTTAAAGCCAGATGATTTTTTAAACAATTATTCAGGATGGTCCGGTAATAACACTAATGATGAAGTATGTTGATTTTATTCATAAATATTTAATACAATTATACTTACACATATTATTTACAATATTATAGTTGACTCCTTTTACATTAAGACTCAAGCCTGGTTTAAAAAAAGGTTCTTTTCCCTCGGTTTTTAATTATGAAACAATAAATGATACATCAAGTTTATTTTGTAAACAGGTAATTTATTATTAAATGAAAGATATAAATAAAATTACTTATGAAAATAAAACATTTAGGTTTCGAACAAAAGATCGATAGAAGACAATATTCATGATAGTAGTCTTAAATGTAAGCCAGGGGCGTAATTACGGGGGGATATGGGGGATAGATCCCCCCCATGTGCTGTATTTATATACTGTTGTTTTTCCAAACACAAATTACTAAAAAAAAAGTTATATTACTGTATTACCAAAATAAATGTTAAACAGTGGATTTCACTTTTATAGTTTTTTCGTTATCTCTAATATTTATTTATTTATAATTTTATAAATATAAGAGCGTTCGTCGTTTGTCACGCACCGAGCTATTTTTAGTTATTACAGTGCCTATTTACTATCAACAATCTACACAGACGATATATACAACGTATACAGCGCAGTTTACAATTTGACCGATCTTTTATCTACAAATCTTTTATCTACGACCAATGACCATTGTATTATTATATTAAGCATTTAAGAAATATAAATCATGTCGTCGCACCGCGCACTAGTCTTTTCACTTGTGTTTCTAACGTTTGTTCAAGACATTTGTAAAGTTTTTATATCACTCTAAGTATACTCTTTCACTACTTTTTAAATATTTATATATTTATATATGAAAAATGGAAAATAATAAAAGAAAACCTTCGGATACAATATTATATTTTTCCAAAAAGAAGCCTGGGCCTGAAGTAAGTATTACTATCAATTAATAACAATTATAAATGTTATTATTAGGGCCCAATATTAAATATTGTAGAAACGTATAAAATATGCTTTCATTTACCATTTGTGCACCAATTAATTTAACAATTTAAAATTTATTAAATACTTGACAGCATGCATTAAAAAATTGATTATCGTACCTGGTATCCCGTCAATTGATCGAAAACAGTTGATCGCATGACAATTGCTCGAAAACTTTTGATCGAAATACAATTGCTCGTAAACGACAATTGATCGAAGAGAAATAATTGCTCGCAAAACTAAAAATTATATTATATTATATTATATTATATTATCTTATATTTTAAAATAATATCAAACAAAATTGCTAAATAATTAACTAGTATAAATAAAAAAATTGGTAGTACCTATTATTATTTAAATTGCATTTAAAAAATGAAGTCAATTAAAATTGCTAAAAAAACGTAAAATTAAAAATTAAATTTGCAGTTGAAAATTATAGGCTATTCCACGTAGATAATCTAGGATAAATAAATCATTATAATGAGTGCAAATTTTTTTAATTCTCTTAGCCCTATCTTGGTATTTTTTTTTTTCTGAGGTTCTATGCCACATATATATTGCTCAATTTTGAGTCGATTTATGCTTTCTTCTTTCTTTAAAGCTTCAATAAAACGCCATATTGATGGATGTTTTCCACTTAAGATTGACGTAAAACAGTTATGCCAACCTTCAACGGAATTATTTGTTGTTGCTATATCTTGTTCTATTCTTAAAAAACAGTTCCACATTTCAATTTCAATTTTCGGTTGTTTTCGTCTTCTTCGTCTGTCTAATTTGCCTAACCAGGTATTTTCGAAATAGTCTAAAAATTGTTCTAATATTTCTTCATTTTCTGTATAATAATTACTTTCAATTAAAACACTATATGAATTTATTACATCATCCTTAGGAACAAATGCTAAAGCTGGTAACATTCTTAATTGCAATGCAAATTCAGGGTCTTCACTGTATATTTTTGCAAGCCAAATTCCTGAACATGACGCCACATACACTGGGACAAATGAAAAAAACACCCGTTTACTTTAGTACTAGGAATTTCTGTTTTAATTGCATTGATAGTAGCTTTTTCATAATCAATCATTATAATTTTGGGATTTAAATTTGGTTTTAATGACTTTAAAGCATCAAACATTCGACTATAGGTATCTTCTTTTTTATCAGGTAGCAATACATAAACACTGGGAACCACATTTGAATAACATATACCATGAATTGTGTATAATTGCGTAAAAATCGGTGGAGCTACCGAAAAAGTTCCATCACAGAACCAATGTTCACAATTCTCCATAAAATCCAAATTTTTTTGGGTTGTATAAATCAAAATACGCGGGAGATTTATGCCGCTGTCATAATGTAAAAATAACTCACCGTCACTTGTATTTCGATACTGCTCAGGAATAATAAAATCAAAATTATTTGGGTTAGGTGGAGAAGCTTCTTCTCTTTGACGAAGACGTTGAATTGTTCTTTTTAACGTTTGTACATTTGGCATATCTGCAGCTAGAGCACTTGGTAACTAATTATAAAAAAAACATTTTATTGTTTTATATTTATATTAGGTATAAAATATAATATTTTATAATACCTGCGATGACATTTCTCCAATAACAGCATGAGTACTAAGTGTAGATTGGGATGAAATCTCCTTTAAATGTGATACAGCCTTCTTAACCTCAATTTTAGATGCATTTGGTACATGATTATTATGTTTGATGAACTTCACGATATTTTCGTTAACAACATGAACTCGACCTTTGCATTTAATTTTTTTGCTTTCGGAGCATTTCCAATACACTTTTTCATTATAAATTTTTTCTTGTGTATGTAAAAATCCTTTATACTCTAACATTCTTTTATTTTTTTCACTGTTTACATACACTAAACTTATGATGGTAAAATTTTAAACGAGTCAAACGTATTTGAAGTAGGTACACTATAATACTGAAACAATAATAATCTCGGATGCATGCACCATGATATAAAATTACTATCGCGGTTGAATTTAATATTATCTTTATATCTAAGTACAAAGTGCACCACGTCGATGTAAGATATAAATTATATATAGATATTATCGATGTGACTCGGTGGAAATATGAAGTTGTTTATTGCGAACAATTCTTCTTCGATCAATTGTCGTTTGCGAGCAATTGTTTTTCGATCAAAACTTTTCGAGCAATTCTCGTGCGATCAATTGTTTTCGATCAATTGACATGTATCCATCGTACCTACCTACCAATTACCGTCACTTAATTCACTCACCAAAAAAATTAAACAGTTAGTTAAAAATGATTTGTTAGTTTATTTAATTTTATTACAGCATTAAATTTCTTCTTTATTATTCAAGGGTAAAGTAAAAAATGATAATATGGTCATTGATGAAACAAGTCATATTGAAGATGAAAATTTGAATCAAACTACTCTCGAAACAAATAAGGTTAGAATAAGTATTAATGCCCAATAATGCATATACCTATTATATTGTATTTCTTTTAATATTTTAATGCTTTATCATAATTTTCACTCAATGGCAATGCTGCTTTTATACTGTTACATTTTATAATCTTAAATGCTTTTTAATACTGTTCAATTAATATTATACAGGTTGATGCCCGCCAGAATGATATAGCGTTATTTGTTAAACAAGCTTTGTTAACAGATGAAGAAAAATATCTTGTAAGCTTTAAGTTATTCTGCTTTAAATTCTAATTGTTTTAACTTTTAATTATAATACAAACAATTAATGATATTATTTTATCATGTGCTTAATAAAATTCTGATATTTTTTAGTAACGGTCTTATTAAGTGCATGTAATCGTATTATAGGTGCTTTCAAATGTATGGGTTCCTAATGCAAACTATAAATTTCCAGTTAAGGAAAAAAATAAAAGTAGAGGGCTTAAGTTTCAGCACAAATGGCTAACAGAATTTAACTGGCTAGCTTATTCAGAAATCAAAGGGGGTGCATTTTGTAAGCATTGTGTGCTTTTTGCTACTTCTGGTGGAATAGGAAATCAACCCCTGAAACAATTGGTGAAAGAAGTATTTGATTCTTGGAAAAAAGCTAAAGAGGTTAATATAATATTACTATAGTAACTAACTTGCTAATATTATTAGTAAAAAAAATAATATTTTAAAGAAAAACACTTGAAACATAGTGTACCTACTGATAAATTACTTAATTAAATAAATATATTATGTTTAATAGTAAATAATTAGTTAAGCAGTTTTTAAACTATCATATTTTAAATTGACAGGTGTTTCGTGCTCATTCTGTACTGGAATATCACACTCTTTCTATCCTAAAATCTGATGAGTTTCTAAGAATTTACTTAAAGAAAGTGCCCACAATAGTAGAACGCATTGATTCAGATAGGTAAAACAATATTTTAAATTTATAAATTACTGTTATATTGAAATGATTCTGTTTAATTGGTACTGAAAAGAATTAAATAAATGTATGAATGTGTATTTCTCATTATCTTATTTTAAAGAGTACAAAAAATCAAAAATAATAGGCAGCGGCTCATTCCAATTATAGATTGTGTAATGCTCTGTGGCCGACAAGAAATAGCTATGCGTGGACATACTGATTCTGAAAAAATTGACTGTAGGTTTCAACATGTGTTTATTCATTTTATTTTATTTTTTAATTGTTTTCTTATTTTATTTTTAGTTGAGAGTTCTTTGAATCAAGGCAATTTTAGAGCTATATTAAAGTACAGGGCAAAAGGTGATGAATATTTAAAACAGATCCTTACACATGAAGGAAGAAAAAAATATATTACACCTCATATTCAAAATTAAATTATTATTGCATGTGGAGATGTTATTTTAAACAAGATTGTCAAACGTGTAAATGAGTCTAGGTGTTTTTCAGTTTTAGTAGATGAAACTACTGATATCTGCACAAAAGAACAAATGGCTCTATGTCTTCGTTATGTTGATGATAGTTTTTGTATACATGAGAGTTTTTTAAAATTCATTACAGTAAACAGTTTAACTGGTTGTAATCTTGCTGAATCGATAATAAATGGTCAGTAATAAAGTAAAAAGGTTACTAGTAAGTCATTCACTGAAAATTATTATTACTATTTATTTTATAGGTTTAATAAGCTGTGGTATAAATTGTGACTTCTTATTTGGCCAAGGATATGATGGCGCTAGCAACATGTCTGGCCAATATAAAGGTGTTCAATCAATTATTAAAGAGCAATACCCCCATGCCATATACGTGCATTGTGCAGCGCATTCACTTAACTTGGCTATTTCAACTGCAAGTGAAATTCAATCAATAAGAAATTGTTTAGGAATAATTGAAAAGTTCTATGTGTTTTTTAATACTCCTAAGAGAAACACTGTACTTTTGAATTGTATTGAAAAAAGTGATGAAGAGCCTAAAGTCAAAACATTAAAAAGATTGTGTGCAACAAGATGGGTTCAACGTTATGATGCTGTATCAGATTTTTTACAACTGTTTTCATATGTAGTGGATTCATTAGATGTTATTAAAGATTGGAATGATACTACAGCTACTGATGCATCATTGTTATTAAAATCCATTGATACCGAGTTTCTTATATCTCTACAAGTTGTAAAAGTAATATAAAACAATTAAAACCACCATTAACTAACCTTTTTATTAAATATAATTTGTTAAATTATTTCTAGCTGGTTTTTTCATTTGGTTTGCCATTATGCAAATTACTTTAAAAAGAACAAATGGACTTAAAATTAGCAGTGTCTCTTGCAAAAGATATTATTGGTAGTCTGGAAGAAATTTGACGGAATTGTGATAGTGAATTTAATAAATTATTTATGGAAGCAAAAGTAAGCCTATTGGTTTATAATTTGTTTATATTATGTATTGTAAAATATCATTTTCTAAAAATTGTAATGTAATATTTATAACATTAATAAATACATTATTTATTTATTTATTATAATTTAATAGGAAATGTCAGAAGTTGTTGGAATTGAAATGTGTGTGAAACGAATAACAAATAGACAAAAGCATCGACCAAATCCAAATACACACTTAAATATAGAAGATTTTTACAAAGTTACAGTGTTCATACCATACTTGGATTATTTTATTAACCAATTACAGGAACGTTTTCTGTCCCATTCAGAAATTTTTGAAGGTTAGTATTTCAAATTTAAGGTAAATTACTGGGTATTAAAATACTTTTTTTAGGATTTCAATGTCTGTTTTCTGCTGAAATTTCATCTACTGATGAAATATCATTCAAGAAATTAATCAATTTCTATTCTACAAAACTGGATGTAGTTAATTCATTAGCTGAACTTAAATTGTGGAGTAGAAAACTAAGACAATTAAAACAATCAGATATCAATCCTAAAACCGGAATTGAAGCTTTTAAACTGTGTAACATGGATATTTACCCAAATATACATTTTTTATTAAAAATTGTATGCACACTCCCTGTTTCTACTTCAACACCTGAAAGAACATTCTCAAGTTTAAAGAGAATTAAAACATACCTTAGAAATAGTATGACAGAGGTGATAAATTATTTTAAACTAAAATTCAATATTTACCATAATATTATTATGTTATTTATTAATTTATTTATAGGATCGTCTAAATGGTCTATCATTGTTGGCCATTCATAATGATATTGAAGTGGAACATGATGAAATACTTGACATATTGGCGCGAAAACCAAGAAAATTGGAAATTTTGTTATAATGATATAATCTTAATTTGTAAATAATATAATGTAATAAATGTATAAAAAAAAAATGATTTTTTTAATATCATTTAATTTTAAAATGCATCATATTGAAAAGTAAATTAGTGGTAAGATCGAAAGGGGGTGTGGGGGGCGAAGCCCCCCACTGTTTTATGGTTACAAAATATTAATATCCCCTCCCATAAAACATTTATAATAACGCCACTGATGTAAGCGACAATTGTTGTGGCCTGTTGAGAGTACTGAAACAGAGCTTATACTACATAACAATAATTCACAGCAGGTTAAAAATAATTATATATGCATATATAAAAATGGTACTATCCAATATTTTTAATTTTTTAATGAAACAGATTCAGTGTTTTGAAACCAATGAACATTTGATATCCGATTTGAAACAAATTCCAAATAGTGTAAAATTACCCAATGGCTGGTACTTTCATTGTGATGAGGTTGCTCTGAGTTATTTCTGTATAAAAAATGTAAAAACAGATATAATTAAAGCAACAGTAGAAAAGCAAGTAATTATAAATTTTGAAGAGAGTCAAATAACATCTTATATAAAGGATAAGTTGATTACGGAGGATGTTTTGGGGATTGCTAAAATAGCATTTTCACAGAATATATCACACATACAACATTTGGTGGATGTTATTAACTCTACATATGTTTGTACAGGTGGCCCAAGTGTAATTAACTACCCAGGTTTGTACTAAAAAATACTTATATTTATAGCATGAACTAAGAAGATTCTTAGTTTATGATTTATTAATAAAGGTATTCTTTTTTTTTTTATAAGGCATATCAGCTAAACATGCAATTAAAGGGGTAAATAATATTTGGAGATACAAAAAGTGCTCATTAATACTGAAAAATGTAACACCAAAGAGATGTTTGTGGTGTGAAAAAATTGTACAAATATTTAGGGTGTATAAGCAAAGGAGTAAAATTACAAACAGTAAAAAAAGTATTGGGCCAACACTCACACCAAATAGACTTACGTATAGACCGTACGGAATAGATTATACAATAAAAAAATATTAAGAGTAAGTTTATAACACATGAACAATTACTCACTATCATGAACTAAGAAGACTGTCTTCTACTATTTTCTAACTATCTTCTTAGTTTATGCTCACTATAGTATTCAGTAGTTGATTGGTTATACAATTTAATGTAATATATCTCCTGAAAATGATTCAATTAGTTGGTCTCATTATGAATCATTGCACAATAATGACCTAAAACAAATATCAAAAAGAATTTGTCCAAAATTAACTAAACGACATTTGTGCTTGGACAGTTTTTCAAAGATGAACGTAAAACTAGCGGCACAGGTTAGATTATTAAAGAAAATATTTATTTTTTTTTACTACCTACACTTATAATTATATTCTATGTTACATTATTTTTATATTCCTACCTTGTTTTCACAGATTTTTAGTAATTCAGTTGCAGTAGGCTTAAAATATTATAGAGAATATCAAAAAGTACCAGAACTCGAAAATAGTTTAGAGACTGAAAATTTTTCAAATTTATTTAATAATATTTTTGATGCATTAAATAGAAAATTCCCAGCCGAGGGTATAATACCAAATTCTGAAGATTTTAAAGTATTTATATTCATAAATATTTCACAATAAAATATTTTTTCAAAAAATGTTATTATATAAGGTTTTAGAAGATGGAATAAAATTTATTAATTCATGGGAACAGAATTTAATGGATCAAAAGATTATGGAATCCGAATTTTTAACAAAACCAACGAGTAACAATGAAATCAACCATTGAACTACCAAAATATTTACTTAAATCTGGATTTCAATATGTGCTATCGAATAAAATGAATCAAGATAAATTAGAAGTAATATATTGATACCATGAAATAAGTCAATTTCAAGATTGATACAAAATATTCCTGAATAAACATTTTCTTATTTTTTTTTTTATTTCAGCAATTTTTTGGAATGGTTTGTCAAGCATCAGGACCAAACGATCATCCTAGTACTCCTACATTTATACATATCTATAAGATATTATCGTCATATTCTATTTTGAAGCCACCAAAATCTGGAAACTGTACCATTTTGGAAACATCAGCACCTAAGATTACATTATCTGATATTAAACAAATTGTCGATAAAGATACATCTGAAAGGGAAGATAAAATAAGAAATTTATCAATACAATTAGATACCTTAATAGATGAAGGTGTATGGGAAGCAGAAGATATTTTTGATCACGATTACACAAAATCATCAGTGAAGGATTGTGTATGCTATTATATTTGTGGTTATGTTAGTAAGCAAATTATAAAACATACAAAATGTAAAGAATGTACTTCAGCGATTGTAGCAGGCAAGTTTGCTTGATATTATTCCATTAATTCATTGGAATTATAAATAATAAAATATAGTCCTTAAAATAATAAACAGTTACAAATTAATATAAAATATGAATACTAATGTCAAACACAAGAAGCAACTTTCACAAATATAAAGTCCAGAGGAAGATTAACTCATCCAAATCAAGGATTTTTTAATTTAATTTCATCAATAGAAAATTCATTTGAAAAGTTTTCTAATAATGAAGATGTATTTAATTGTTGCGTTGAAGATATCATGCAAAACAGTTCTAATCTTTTATCTTTTCCCTGTTCTCAACATAAAAATGAAATACTAACTCATATTATAACGTATTACCTAACAATGAGGATGCGTCAACATGCAGTACTACAAAATCGAAACGAAAAAAAACAAAATAAACAGTTAAAAAAACATTCAAAATTGGTAAAATCTTAGATGCCGGATATAGGTACATAAAATAAAATAATTAAATCATTACTCAACAATAGTAAAATTAGCAACTAATGTTTTTAGATTAAAAATTAAAATTTGTATTTTTTTTTTATTTTTAATATGCAGTAATTTCATATTTATGTACCAAGTTGAAAACTTAACTTTAAAAAAATAAATTAATAATAACTATAAATTATATTATATAAGAAAACAAACTTACTCAACAATTCACTCACTTGCGTACGAATTTGAAATTTGGAAGAGTGGTTCCTTTAATGATCTAGATGTGCAATAAGATAGAATACCTACACCGAGATACAACTAAATAGCGTATAAACCATAAACTAAATACCTATAACCATTGATTAAAAATATTAAATACTAGTATTTATGCATAAACCTAAATAGAATTTCCCACAAAAAAAAAAGCACATGAACGATGAACGAAGCCGGGATATGGATATTCGTCAAGCATTTTGTTGTCGGTTTACCGTGGTGGCGTGCGGCCTTTTGTTATTGATATAATTACCGTTCAAGCGTTTTCGATGAAGACCACTACGTCGAGGGCCATTTTTCGTGAAAAGGACTGTAGGCACCGACACTATCGCATGATTCCGGTACCATAACAATTACTGATTTTACCTCTACCACCCGCCTACCATGTCGTGACCAGTCCATATCTTCTTAGTTCATGGTAGCCATCGACCTAGCCCACGCACTTGCGATATTCCTAATCTATTCTGCGTATTACTATAATGAACTGAGAGTTAATTTATTAGCTACCAGTTTTATTATAATAATTTATCTACTTTTTTATGCCGAATATCTGTCCTATAACGCTATTGCATATATCACATCCGCCTATTCTACATGATTGCGAAGTCGCGCTAATCTACTGTGGTATTATTTTGAATATCGTTTCTCCTTGAGCCATACATTTATTAATCATAGATTTGTTTATGCGTTCGTTTTAGGCGTTATACTATCCATGGTTTCTTTGATTAAGTACATTCGAAAATTTTAACTAGTTTTTGTTTGATATATCTGACCATTACCCTATTTACAGTATATTATGTTAAATATGTTACCTGTCGGGACTTTAAATGTTGCATAGTAACTCGCTTACTACAGTAGCCATACTTCAGAACATATTAGTGAATGGTTTGAAAAATTATTTTAATATTGGAGGATCTCTAATGAGCAATTGTACTAACCGATAGTGGTTCTAATATTTTGAATGCCGTAAAAAAAACATTTGGAAAAGAAAAACATTTGCCATGTTTTGCTCACACCTTAAATCTTGTCACGCAAAGACCTTTAAATGAACTTAGTGACGTTAAAAACATTATTTCTAAAATAAAAACTATCATTACATTTTTTAAACATTCAGTCATCGATAGTGATGAACTAAGGAAAATATGTGAGTTTAAGCTAAAGCAATCAGTGCCTACTAGGTGGAACTCAGTTTATTATATGATTCAAAGGTTTTTATTATGTTCAAACCACATTGCATCTATATTAATCACCAACAGTTGTGGACCTTCAATGCTATCTGCAACTGAAATAGACATAGCTAGGGAAATAAATATTGTACTTAAACCTTTTGAAGTAGCGACAAAAGAGTTATGTGGGGAAAAATATATCACTGGTAGCGCAGTAATCCCCTTAATCCATTAACTCATAAAAAAATGTGAACAAATAAATATAAATAACTGTAGCTTTACAATTAAAGTCTGTCCTGTTGGACAATTTACAACGGCGATTCGGTAGGATGGAGGAACTTCAAAATCTTACAATTGCCACCATATTGGACCCTAGGTTTAAGACACTTCATTTTAATAACCCAGTGGCATCCTCTAAAGGCATTCGTACAGTTCGTCTTAAAATTATAGGTTTAAAAACTAATTCTAGTGACTCTAATGTTTCCAATAAAGACTCTAGTGATGATGATACCGAACGGGCTAATAGTTTATGGTCTTTCATAATGAATTGGTCTCAAAAAAAGCCTCGGAAAACTCTGAAGACAATAATGAGCGTATGTCAACTGATTTATAACATTTTTAAACCAACCAACAATACCCTTACATGAAAATATAATTCAATTTTGGAATGTACATAAAACTATGTATCCTCTCATTGCTAAAATAGCTGAGCCTTATTTGTCATTTGTAGCCACATCAGTTAATTCTGAGAGATAGTTCTCCAAGGCAGGTAATATTATGAGCTCAAAACGAAATAGATTGAAGGGTGAAAAATTTCAGCAAGTTTTATTCCTAAGTTCGCTGAATTTAGACGACTGGCATTTACAATAATAAATGTATCATATTGTAACTATTTGTAAATATGAATAATTTTTGTATAATTTTTTTAATTTATGTTGAAATTATTTTGTAAATATGTACAATGCTATATACTCTGTTGTAATTATTTTGTATATATTATTTTTAAATATGTATAATGCCATATACTCTGTTGTAATTATTTTGTATATATTATTTGTAAATATGTATCATGTAATTATCTGTAGTTTGTACAGCCTACGGTTTTGTATATATTGATATTGTAAAAAGTTTATGTGAAAGTCAATCCAATAATACCAATGATATAATTACTAAAAACATTTATATTATAATTACAGTATTACAGTATTTACCATAATCATTGAGGTGTTATTTATCTACTTAACATACCTAAATCCTAACTCAATCAACTTAAACTTTAATTTCTTTAATTTCTACATTATATATATATATATATTTGCATTGTATCAGATTCTTACTAATTATTAATGTAATATTTTACATTTTGATATTATGTACTTTAGTACTATTTTATGTTACTTCCAGTACACACTACACAATAAACAACAGCAAGAATGTTGCTTCAATGAGAAGAAATAAAATGTGTATATGACAGAATATTTTAACTGAGTTAAACATTTTCTTATAACTAGAAGTTTAGTGTTTAATATATTGTTTATTAACTAATAACTTAACTTAAATATTTTTTCTCACCAACCATTTTTGATAATGATAGAATTCAATAAGGTTTTTGTCTATTAAGTAATATTATACTGACTTTTGAGACCTCTATAGTCTATACTCTATAGGAACCCCGTACACTTGCTATTCAATTAAAATCAGTTTTGAAAATTGAATATACCACTAAGTTAATTATTTCTTACCTAGTAAAATAATTAAATACATTTATGATTTTGTTAATAAGTGTTTAATTACCAAATAATAAAGTATTTGAAAATTATTATACATTATAATTATTTGTATTTCGGAATGAATGTTTTATGTGGGCATTATACTATTATAGACTATAGTATTATACGTTAAATAAAAACATTTTAAATTTGGTAATTTATTCAATAAAATTTTAAAATATTAAAAAATTAAGGCTTATCATCCTCCCCCATGTGGCCAACTGGACCAACTGTCCATTGAAGTGGCGAGTTCAAGTTGCTTTGATGTAGGCCTTATAGGACTACAAAACTTACAGTGGTTTACAGTTGGAGTAAACACTCTCTCCGAAATCAAGAGGAAATAATAGATTTCTAGATATTTAACTATAGATAGGATGACCGCCAATGGTCTCAGCCTCGCCCCAGAAAAATCTGAGGGTGTGGTCCTTACAAATAAGAAGGTTTATCGCGCCCCCGTATTGCATGTTCAAGGCTGCCAGATCCCCATTTAGAGGGCGATCAGATACCTGGGTGTCCGACTGGACACTAGGTTGTCGTTTGTTGACCACGTGACTTCAGTGGCGGCAGGTGCAAGGAAGGCTGCAGCTGCTCTCGGGAGGCTCATGCCTAACATCGGTGGCCCATCTCAGTCTAAGAGGTCTACTATATGGTGCCGAAGTATGGTCAGAGCGCGTTCTCGAAACGCAGAAGACCAAGAATGTGCTTCTACAGGCACAGAGGTGTGCGGCGTTAAGAGTGGCCAGGTGTTACCACACTGTTTCTGGTTTGGCCTCGCTCGTACTAGCCAGGATGCCCCCGGTTTTTCTGCAAGCAATTGGAAGGAAGAGGACGGCGGAGGTTAGGAAGTCAAGGAGCTATGCTCAGCAAGAACGATGTCATAACCGACACAATCCGACACTGGCAGGCCCTCTGGGAGTCCACCCAAGACAAGGCGGCATGGAAAAAAAGGTTGATTCCTGATCTGTCCAGATGGTGGCACTATGGACCGAGGCAGATTACGTTCTAGATGGCCCAGTCTCTTTCTGGTCATGGGTGTTTCCAGCATTACCTCTGGACAAGGGGAAGAGAGCGCAGCCCAGCCTGTCTACTGTGCCCTGCAGACAATGATGACGCTGAACACACACTGTTCGTCTGCATGTTTTGGAGCGGTGAGAGGTAAGCATTTGAGCAGTCATTGGGCAGACCTGCTCGTCCTGAGGATGTTGTGGGTGTCCTTTGCAGATTAGCACCTACGGAGCTACCGGAGGACCAGCTAACAAGGAGGAGACTAGTGTCGGCAGTCAACCGGAGGAGGGAGCTGTTTACACAAATGGTGGAGGAGATAATGGGCCGCAAGGAGGAACTAGAAAGGGAGCGGTAGCGTGCCGGTGATCAAATTGCTCAAAGGCTCAACATAACTAATTAGTTAAGCATTGTTCTATTGTGGGCTGAACGGCCGCTTCAGGGTGGTTAGAGGCCCCCAGTTATTGTAACATATATATTTAAATGTTATTCATTTGTATTGTATTGTAGTTGTGTATTTCATTTATAATAAATGATGCGTCCAGGGAGGCAGTAATGGGGAAACCTAGTTCCCTTCCTGGTTCGCGGTTCAAACAATAAAAAAAAAAAAAAAAAGGCCTTATAGGACTACAACATTTAGTGCTCGATCAGACTATGCGTTTTGTCGGTGACCGATAATCGGTTGCCGATCGGTAAACGACCGCGACATCTATAGTTAACATGTAAACGGCATTATCGGGGCCAGACTAGACCGATTCTTCGAACCGTCTGAAATAAACCGCGCGCTGTTGCGGTTTGGTAGCGACGATGCGGATCCGTCTGGCACAAAATTACGTTCATTTGTACGGTACCGTCTACACTGAGCAAAATTGTCTCTTACGTCTATTCCACTTCTGTTAACATTTCTACCACGTGTTGTCAAATTATCCAAATTATGCACATCAGCTTCTTCATCATAATTATACCCATCCCTCTTTCGAACAAAATTATGGAGAACACAACATGCTTTTATGATATCATCGCAAAAATTTGGTTCCACTAAAACCGTTGTGTGCAAAACTCGCCATTTATTGGCCAAAACTCCGAAAGCACATTCGACTGTACGTCTTGCCCTCGATAACCTGTAGTTAAACACCCGACGAGTATTATTAAGTCCACGACCTGGAAATGGTCGTAACAGATTTGCGTAAGACCAAACGCTTCATCAGCAAAAAAGACAAATGGTTGAATATTGTTTTCAGTTAAAGGCAATGCGTCTGGGTCCGGAATTTGAAGTTGTTGCGAGTATAACATTTTTCCAAATATACTCTGACGAAAAACGCTAGAATCGGCTTCACGACCATATGCGCCTACGTCTATGTATATGAAATTTAAATTAGCATCGACCACTGCCATTAATACTATTGAAAAATATTTTTTATAGTTGTAGAACAGAGAGCCGGAGTTTTCTGGATTTTTGCATCTGATGTGCTTACCATCTATAGCTCCAAGACAGTTTGGAAAATTGGTTTTTGAATAAAAAGTTTTAGAAATATCTATCCACTTATCTTTATTTGGTTTTGACATTTCTGTGGGTTGTAGAATTGACCATAAAACCTGACATGTCTCTCTTACAATTCCGTTTATTGTACTTTTTCCAATACGAAAGTCAAAATGCAACGCAGCGAAATGTGTCCCAGTTGATAAGTATCTGTTAAAATTTAACATACACCTGTATTTTTAGTAGGTAATAAAATGTTTGGATATTTTTCAATGGGTTGACCAGTTGCCCCCCACGGATGTTATCGGGATTCAAAAATATACCAGTTTCCCTCGCACGTTATTATACATACGATTACAATATATAGCCCGTAAAATAGGGGAGGTAAATATACAAATAATAAATAAAATTATTTATAAAAATAAAGTAAAATAGTATAAAATGATAGAAAAAAAATTCATAATAAAAAATATATAATTATAATAACCGAAAATTAAGTGAAGCCATTTTATTATTAGTTATTTTACGGGCTTTATATTGTAATCGTGTATATATTAACATAATATGAGGGCAACTGGTACATGCCCTTTTCAATGTCATACAGCGTGTCGTATTTAGGTTTTTGTCTTTGGGCCTGGTGGGGGTTATATGATTTTATCCTGTAGCCCCGCCTTTAAAGTTAGATGCCTTAAGTTAGGTCCCAAAAACGTTTGAATAATAAATACAGCCCATGGGGGAGAGGGTTGATCCCCCCCCTCCGTAAATACGCCACTGACATCACGCAGTAATTATTGGAATGTTGTATTAAGATTCATTATTATGATAAAAAACGATTCTGAGCGAAGACAACCTAATTTTTTGGTAACCTGACAGTTTTATATATTAATATATTATATTTATAAATATTATATTTTATTTATATTTATGTATATAATATATATATTGTTTAATATATTTTAATAATGATATTAACATTTAAAAAAAAATATTCATAGTTTTTTTCGATTATTTTGAAAAGAACTGAGAATTTTTAATCTACCTAGGTATAAGAAATTGTCTTCAAAAATAAAACACAAAAATAAAAAAACACATCTTTGTAAAATCAATACATTCATCGCTACGCTCAGAATCTAAAAGTCATATTATAATTTATAATAGTATTAATACGTAATATAAAATATAATTACCTTAATTTCTAAACATTATATTTAATTTAGTAAAAGAGTTGAAGAATAAAAAATGGAAACATGTTCGTGATGCATATTTAAAGTATATTTCCGAAGAGAAAAATGTTAGAAGTGGATCGGAAGGTACAAAAAAAAAACCTTATGCATACGCACAAATTATGTCATTTTTAAATACGACTACTAACAAAAGGAAGTAAGTGAATTTATTAGTTTTAATTTTTTTTTTTTAATTGCTCATTTACAATTATTGGATAATATTAAATGTTTTTAATTATAATACTCCCCTAAGTTAGAGGGTATCCACATTGGTAGGCCTCCCTCTTCACGCCATTTCATGTTATGTTCCTATTATATATTATCAAATTTTATTTATGCTTCTATATTAGTTATGAAAATCAAACAATCATTATTATTAATTTAATCAATAATTTTAAACATACATTTATATTTTATTTTTAGAACAACTGATAATTTTGAAAATGTTGAAGACGATACAGGACGTCACAGTTTAGATGATATGGATGATGATACCTCTGAGACACCAGCTAACGTTTCATCTACTTTTATTAGTCCACATCAAACTTCCAAAAAAAACAAGAAAAATCCAATTACTCCATTTCAAAGTAATTTACTTGAACACCTAAAAAAAAATGAAGAAATGACATCAAATCCAGACATGAACATTGTTATGTCGTTTCTTCCCTACATGAAGTTATTAAATGAGGAGCAGAAATTAGAATTTCACCTTAACAGCCTTCAATATTTAAAACATATTATAAAAAATCAAAATACACCCGTACTACATGAACCACAACTTCAGTATCCCATTCCAGCTGCTCCTTTAAATTTTAATAATTATACAATGAACCAAAACACATCTTCTAACTTGCAATATAATTCCAGGCCATACTTAAATGCTCAACCATACTCATATTCAACTTATAAACAACCTAATTATCCTCATAATTCATCGTCCTCTTATTTAGATCACACTGTCCAATACACACCCACGCCTACGTCATCGTCACAACCATCACCATCAAACCAGACGCAATAAACATTTTGTATTATATTTTTTTATTATTTAATATAAATTTAAAGATATTGTACTTTGCAATTTTGTTGTGATATTTAAAATAAATAATTCATTTTTACTTCAAATAAATGTTTTGATATAAGTACCTACATCGTAATAAGTATCACTGTCCATTATTATATTAGCGGTTTGGGTGTAAATCGTCACCGAGCAAAGCAAAGATGTATTGGTTTTACAACTGAGTGTTTAACTGATGTTTAAAAAATAACATTTTCTGAAAATACCTATTTATTTTTTTTATTAGAAAAAATGCTACGAACACACATTTTGAAGGAGGTGGTAGTTTGTAATTAATAAATTGAATCTAGTTTCTATTTTGTGGTGTCAAAAGTAGAAATTTACAAGTTACTTATACCAGCTACTATAATACTAAATAAATAATATTATGTGATGTGTTTTAGTGATTATATATTATTATACGTGTTATAGGTATAGATAAATTATAAAAATTAAACTAAAATCTTACCTCAAAGTCACAGTCAACCTTTCTTCCGGACTTATAGGATTTCGAAGGTGCGTAATTTCCTTCGTTAAATATGGTCGGACCTTTTCGAGTAGTTCTTCAAACGAGAAAATTGACATACGATAATAGTCAAAAAATTTCTCAGGATATTTTTTTAAATAGTTATAAAATACTTGAAATCGCATGTCGTGTTCTCTACTACTATGTATAGGATTTACCCAATACCTTCTGTGCTTATGTGCTGGTTCTTCAAGTTCACCAGCAGCTTCAGCCATACAAATTATTTCCAGAAGAGAGCTCATTTCTATGTATAGTGATAATTCAAATTAAAATATTTTGTATCTGTACTCATAAATTAAATCGATTATATTTTGAATTTATAAACACTTACCTGATGTAAATATTTTTCTTAAATAATGTAAATTATAAAAACACGATTGATTTAATTATTAAATAGTACAAAATACAATATAGTAATATTAATAATTATAATAATATCCTTTAAAAAGTACAAGTGAACACGTTTGTTGCACCAAACAGACTGAATCGCCGAACAACATGTTGGATAGTTTGATTTTTGTGATTATATAACTTATAATATTAGATACATTTCGTTGAAATCAAAAATTAGTTTACTATTTATATTAAATTTCAAATTAACAACGATTCCCGCGCTTTTTAATCTTGCTTTTAGGTAAGTCGATAAAACGCCTAGTCTGAACGGTCGCGCCGATTGCGGTTCGGTCGTGATCATTTTATCGGTCGCCGACAAAACGCATAGTCTGTTTTATCGGTCGCCGACAAAACGCATAGTCTGATCGAGCACTTACAGTGGTTTACTCTCTCCGAAATCAAGAGGAACTAATAGCGTTTTCGATTTGACAAGAAAAGTGTGCACTGTAATTCAACTGACACTACACTAGTGAACGGTGCACTATGCACTCGTTCATTTAAATCAAATACGAAAAGATATGATTGCATGTTTAATCATGGATGAATAAATCATCATGGATGAAATACATGTCATAATCATTTTTAACCGTGATAAATAATATTTTACCGCCAATTTGTTTGAAACAAAAGTAGGTACCTAGGTAGGTATGAGTGTATGACACACACAATCGATTATTTCTCATTAAGAAATAAATTATAATAATTGTACACGATCATAATTGTTGTTTGTCTTTAATAAATTTCCCATAGTGGCATAGTCGTACATTGTACTTAGAAAAATGTCTGATTCCGATACTGAAATATTTGACATGAGTACCTACTTTAAAAATTGGTATTTAATTGAATTATCAATACTATTTTTATTCATACTGCAGATTTGTAATAAATGTTCTGATGTGTATTCCAACACTTAATTCATACATGCAACCAAGAGGAATATATAAATATTCAAAGGTAATATCGAATTATAATCTTAATAATATTAATTACTTAAAATATGTTTCTTCCAATATGTGCTTGCTTCTATACATAATACTTAATAGGTCAAAAGAAATCATAGAAAGTGATAAACTGCTTATGAATAAAACAAAAAATGAAAAGTTGCTTACACAAAATGCAGTTTCATTGTCAGGTTAATTAAATATGTATAATTTATATATGTTTCTTCTGTGGCTATTCATTCAATTTTGCCTGCTTCTTTTAATAATTAATTAATGTAGTTCTAAAAAGCAGTCTCGTAAAATGATTGTTTAAATATTACATTATAATAGTGTTTACTACAAGTTATCATCTTGTAGATTGTAGTCAATAAATAATATTAACAAACGGTAGATTTGATATTTATACTTATACTTTTAAAAGTACACATGCTAATAAAATTTGTTTACTAATTTAACTTAAAATGTGTCTGGATTACTGTATTAATATCTTCCAATATACAAAGAAAAATTGTATTTTAATAGAGACACAAATACACTACAGTTTTGTACCTATGTTTTTATTCAAATACAAAAATAATTTATTTTTTTAATATTTATATTTTCATAATTTTATGTTTTAATACTTAAGTAGCAGATGTTTCACAGATTCTTATGTGTGATTTTAATACACTAATATTGTGTTAACAGTTGACAATACAAGTCCCACAAATACTACCTTTTGGACAGATGGAAATACATCATTTATGCTAAACTGTTTCCATAAGTATATGGAGCAAATAGGCCCTATGAAAAAATTCCGAAACAAAAAGGCATGTGGGCAAGAATTGAACAAGATATGGTAGAACAAATAGGTTGTGTATTTACAGAAACTCAAATTGAAAATAGATATAAAACTGTTTTAAAAAGAAACAAAGCATATATAAAAAAAACAACAATACTTCTGGATCTTCTCCCAAGTTCAGTAGCGTTGATGAAGAGTTTAGTAAGATAACAGCATTGGATGATTCTATTGAACCATCTGTTTGTGTAGGTTAGTATTATTTCAGCAATAAATTATGAAAAACAATTTTGAGTGAATATGGTTTCTATATATCAGCATGTATTATTAATACATTTTATGATGTTACTGCTATTAAAGTAATTTATTTTACTATTAATAATATAGTATATCTTTAATTACACAGAAACGAAATTACAAAACCCAAAATTATATTTGTATTATAGAGTTTCCACTTTAAAGACAAAACCATAAGCTATATAAGAATAAGAATATTTAAGTAAACTTTCAAAAGTAAAAAGTCAAACCTCCATCATTTATATATAATATAAAAATATATATTTATATAATATGTGTATATATTTAGGTACAGACGTAGGTATGATATTGTATATTGTACATATTTTTGTATGCAATATTTAGGTACATGATCACTGAACCCAACAGCCCCGACACCGATGACTGTGTATTTTTCATTTTGTGTAATTAATCTAACTAAATTGAGCTATTGCACAGCTCTAAATTTATTTATTATTCAATACATTAATTTCTCACACTAAAACAAATTTTTCTGTGTAATCTTTTTTAGTAAACACATTACATTTTACATTATTAGGAACATCTAGTTCTGGACTGAAAAGAATTTTAAAAGATGATAAGATAACTAAAGACGTTGAGCCACATGCTACAAAGAAGGCCAAGACTTCTCTGAATGATCTGCTGATTACCATGCATAAAGAAAAAGAAGAAGGCAGACAAAAGAGAGAACTGGAACGTCAAAAACGTCATGAAGGAAAAATGGATATTCTTAAAAAAATTTTGAATAACAAATAGATTTCTGTCATAAAAAATGTATTAATATATTTCTAAAAATTAAAATTATCAAAGTCTACCAAGTACATAACATTTTTCGTTTTTGAAATCCTTTTTCTCGGGATTGGAGAGTTCCTGGGTGAATGTTAAGAGTTACATTTTCTGGTAATTCTTCTAATTCTACAGGTGGTTGCTCAGGAACGAGATCATCATCATCTGTACACAAATTATGTAACACACAACAAGCTAGTATAAAATTTGAATCTTTTTCAGCTAATGAAAAATCTAATTTTAACAATTGGCGGAAACGTCCTTTTAATAAGCCAAAAGTATTCTCAATTATAACTCTTTTCTTGGCATGATTTTTATTGAATAATTTCTCATTGTTTGTAAGATTTCCATAATCCTTGAAAGGAGTTATAATATTTTCTTCCAACGGATAAGCTGCATCACCTAAAATGTGCTACTTTGATCCACATACTTTTTGTAAATATGCGTCTTTATATATAAAAGTGTTGAAGTATGCGAGCATCATGCATTTTACCGGGCGTTTCAGTAAAAACATCAACAAATTTTTTCTTTGCATTGCAAATACCTTGCAAAGTTAAAGAGCAGTCATGATGTCGGTTAAAATATGTGGATCGAATTTTGTGCTTTGGTTTTCTAATGCTTATATACGAACCATCTATAGCACCGAGTACATCAGGTATACCAGCAATCTAACATTTAAAAGAAAAAGTTTCACTATAATTTCTAAGCAATCTTATTTTTTTTTAAGTTTTTATTATATAGTGAGTTTTATTTAAGTATTACTTGCTGAAACTCGTAGGCACATTGTATTTTGTCATCATTTGAAGTAGGCATTTTAATTATACTAGGCAAAATATTCAGTAGGAATTCAACTACCCTATTGAACACTACAAAAAAAGAAGATTCACTGCAATTGAATACTTGTGCCACTATTCTCATAACTGTTTTGTTGCCTGCAAACCTAAAATAAGTACTTATAGTATACAATAGACTAGCATAACATCAGGAACCCAGATTAACTATATTATTTAAATACTTGTCTCTTTTTAATAGATATACTTATCTAATTCCATTATTAGTTATTGTAACTCATAGGCGCAATTTAGTTTTATTTAAGCCCCCCTAAGTTTTTGATTATATTCATGACTAAATCCACCTATTAAAAAAAATTATACGGGTCTGCATTTATTTTGTAAATTTAGCCCCCCCAAATCAGTTGTTCAAATTGCGCCTATGTTGTAACTATTCAGTTATTATGTTTTTTTTTATTGAATTAATAAGATTTCAACATTATAGACGTGTGCAGACTTTATTGGCAGGGTATGCAATATCAAAAATTTGGCCCCCAAAAGTAATTGAGCCCTCTGGCACTTCTCTCTGAAAAAATAACAATAAAAAGTGTAGTGATGAAATGATTTTTTGGTTCACTTTGTTGAAAGTTCTTAATTAATAATAAAAATAATCATTGATAACTTTGAAATCATATAGGAGGGTAGTACAAAAATAAATAGGGATAAGTTCCCCTTTTTGTCTATGAGTATCATTAATATGGATTACAGTGGGCCTACCCGAAAAAAATTCATATACCCCTGTATTTTACTTATTTATTTTTAAAAGTCTAACAATTTTGTTGGTAAAAAAATCTTATTGACCATAATATGTAAAGTCCATGTCTACAATTTACCAGCATTAAGTTTTTGTAATTGAACTTGTCTATATAACTTGTTTGATGTATATTTTTGAGAATATTTTATGACAATCTTAAATTTATAAAAATTGCGAGTATATCCTGTGCGCACGTTTATGTTCAACATTTAAGGTCATAATATTATTATTGATGACTTATAATGGAAATGCTAAATTACCATAGAAACATCAGTATATGTGCTTCAGCTGATATTGTGGGCTTTCCAGCTGTATATTTTGGATAGTAATCACTGCTCATAAAATCTGTGACAATTATATCCACAGTAGTTCGGGATAGTCTGAAATTTCTTAAAAACTGTAAAAATAGGTAATTTATTAATTTTTAGTCATATATGTAATGGAAAATGTACATACAACTATACAAGTGTGTACAACAATTAATGTGAATTAATAAAAAATTATATTAAGAATCTCTATTTAATACTTATTAAATTATGAATTGTTAAACATACCTCGTCATCGGTAAAACTATGTACAACATTTACCACAAAGTCCTTAACTTTGGGCTTTACATGATGTATTCCATTACAAGTCACTGAATATAATTCTTCGTCATCAGATGAGTCCGAAGATGAAGAGGATGATAGAATACCTGATTCCATCAATGTTATTATTTGTATACTATCCATAATATTATGTATTTATAATTTATGTAATTAGCTAATTAATAGACTTTAATTAATTAATAACTTATTAAACTTTTCGTAAATAAAAATAATTAAAACAAAAATAATCAAATAATGATAACAATTTTAAAACAAATTACCGGATGATAAAAAATATAATATTTTGACCCCGCAATAGAGAAGTTAAGTTCATAGTAATAAAAACACTCCCAAAATCAGCGGTGCAGAAAGTGCACACTGAGTGCACACGAGTGTTGCACTGCAATCAAATCGAATACAAAACACTCCACCAGTTCACAGAATTTTGGTCAAATCGAATACGTTTATGCACTCAGTGCAAAAAGTGCGTCAAATCGAAAACGCTTTAAGGTATGGAGTACTCGCACTGACATTAATGAGCATGGAAACCCTTTATATCTATATGAACCCTGGCGTAACAAGAGAGAGCTAGAAAATGTCAAAAAGCGCCGTCTAGTGATTTAAAAAAATCGTTATTTTGAGAATCGATCTTTTAAGAGATCGATATTTGCCACCGATCTCTTTTTTTTCGATCTAGATCGATTCAAAAGATCGATCTACTTTCGAGAATCACCCATCACTATTATAGGTACTAATTTCATATCTAACACTCGATTATTATTGGTCAGTAAGCCAAAACAATTTTGGACGTTTATTAAAGACCGCAAACAATAAGCTTAAACAAAAAGTGTAGATAGTTAATTACTATAGAACATTACTTTTATTACAATCTTTTACAAATAAATTTGAAACTTTAGTTGGTGGTCTTAAATCTATTGATACAACTGACACTGCTGCATCCAAAAAAAACAATGAGTGAAATGCCTTCATTTATAAAAACTAATAGAATAATATGTTATCACGGTTTTTGTTCAATATCTGTATGAAGAGTTACGTCAACACAGCTTTCATTAACTGTGAACGATTGACAAATAAATATAGCGAAGAAAAATGCTCTCTGTGTGAAAATAAAAGAAGTGTAACAGTAGAAGCTTGTACACTTTTAACTATTGAATTAAACTCAATTCCTCCAAGGAAATATTATTATAAATTGGATTTATGTTTATAGTCTTTTACTGAAATTATATTTAAAACCATGTGAAACCATCAGTTCCTAAAACCTATAGGAATTTATCAATGTTATAGGTAATTAATTTTTTTTATTTAGATATAGAAGCATCAACTAGCATCGGAAATTTTGATAGTGTCCCACTTTACGCGTCCAATTACAATAAGGTAAGGTGATTTGGGAAAACTTATAAAAGTATGGGATAAAACATTTAAATTAAGAGGAGTACCTAGTAAGTTTAAATGGTGGAGAAAGAAGAGGATTGCGAAATGCCATAGGACACTTACAGTATACAGCATCCGCTTTTAGGGAAAACAATAAATGGGAACATATTATGATGATACAAAAAAGAATGTTAAAAATACAAGTACATCAATTGAAAATTATGTAGAATTATTTTTTTTTACGGTTTGATTTTTTTAAACTTTTACTATTGTGTTTAATTTATGGAATAATTTTTTTAGAGATATTGATTTATTTAACATGTTTTTTCAAGACAGAATAATTGTAATATTAGTTTTAAGATTATAATTTTATGGATTTTGATATTTAGTGAAGTAGAAAGGTTAAAGTAGATATTTAGTGAAGTGAAATACATATTATTTCATTTATTTCATATACACGCCTTAACCTAATTGCCACAACTAGATCCAATGTTAAGTTGCCCAGTGCCAGTTTTTAAAATTTTACGAAATTCAATAAAATTTGGAAATACAATTTTATATTATAGTTGGGAGTTACCAGTTTCCGCCAAAATAATATTGGCCGTTTCCGCCATAGCCCTTTTCCGCCCAAAACGAAAATTCCCGTTTCCGCCAAAAGACGATTCTGCCAAAAAAGTTTGGAAACCAATGATTTTAATTTTTGAGCAATATCAGTTGTATAGTAGGTACCACCTATACACTGTACATATAGTACATAGTAATGACAACATATGCCATTTGAAAGTAATCTAGAATAACAGTCGATAACGGAAATACAAACACAATAATTATCTATAATAACGATCGTATGAATCGTACCGACGGACCGTAGTTTGATTTAGTACGTGTTATTTTGTCAAACAGTTAATACCGTTCTTAAAATGGAATTTATCAACAGCAAAAGAGATAAAAAGATGTTGATATTGGATGATTTTAAATATATTTTTGGTTATAGGTCAAAAAAAATATAACTCGATGGAGATGTTTTATGAAAAATAGTACAGCCAATATTTTGGAAAAAGAAACTGTTATACTTGAAACGAAAGGTACGTTTTCTATCTACGAGTAACATAAATGTATTTATTTAATAATTGAAGAACAATGAAATTAATTTATTCTTGCTTATAGGTATTCACGGAGAAAATTGCTCAGTCAAAAATATAGATTGGCAAATATTAGCAATGACATGTAATCGGAAAGCTGTCGAAGATGTCTGTCAAAGACCTAGAAAAATAATACTAGGTAAGAGATTCAACTATTATTACTACTATATTTTTCCAAATTGTTGAAAATTGACTGATTTTCAGGAGAAATTAATGCTTTCGGAGTTTCCTCAAAACGACAACAAATGATGTCTCTGCAGTACGAAAATGTATATACCGTGCTCGTCGTCAAATTTTACCGATGGAGCCAACATGTTTAACTGATATTCACAGTGCTGTAAATTCAGTTGATACTTTGACTTCTAATTATGAAGATTTTTTACTAGTGAATGATGAAATTTCTAATTTAATAATATTTTCCAGTAATACCAATTTAAAAATGTTATGTGAATCCGAAATAATTTATGTTGACGGCACATTTTCTTATTGTCCTTCATTATTAACCCAATTATTTACTATACATGGGTTAGTTAATGAACATTATATACCTTTAGTTTTTTGTTTACTAAAAGATAAAAAGATTGAAGCATATAAGGAAGCATTTTCTCAAGTAGTGTAAAAATGTTTAAAACTAAATTTAATATTCAAACCACAGACAATCACAATTGATTTTTAAATATTTATTCACCAAGCTGTATTATTAATATGGCCATCTATAATTATCGTGGGTTGCCGATTTAATTTAATTCAGAGTTGGTATCGAAAAATCCAAGAATTAGGTTTAACATTATTGGTTAAAACACACTTTTGGATTAACATTTTTAGACCCTTCGGAGGTATCGGATTGTTTTTCATTTGATTTTATGTCAGACATTCCTGATGACAGCAAGTATAGTAGGTACGCAGATTATATTTTGGAAAATTATGTTGACGAAAATTCGAAATTTCCACCAAGTATGTGGGCTTCGCATACATCAACATTAAAAAGAACGACCAATAATATTATGAATCTTTCCATTCGCATTTCAACGAACAATTTTGTAAGGCACACCCATCATTATTTACCTTTTTAAAAATATTGAAAGACACAATACAGACAGACACATATATAAAAAATAAACAGTTCTAATAATAATATAAAAAATATTTCAAAAGGCAAAAAAATATTAAACCGTGTAAAAACTACTGAAAACGCAATTATAAAAAAGAAATTAGTAGGTACGATTTTGTAAAAATTGTTTCTTTTAATTATGCCATTTTTTAAAAACTATAATTTAATTGTACACATTACCTATTTGACTAAAGTATTATTATAACCTACTTGTATATATTTATGTGATATTTTTTGTATATAAATATATATATGTATATATTATATTTTTGTACTATTTAAAAAATATAATAGATATAATGTGATATATGACATGATTGTTGTATTTGTATATGGTTCCCAAACAATATTTGGCGGAAACGTCTTCTCACAAAAATACATTTTAGCGGAAACGGGAATCGTACCTTTTTCGTTTTTGGCGGAAAAGGGCTATGCATAAATCTGGAAACCGGTTTTTTGGCGGAAAAGGGCCATGTCCTTTTAGTTACTACTTTAATTATAATACTTTTAAACTAATTTACCGGTGTTTCCGAATTGCGGACAAAGTGACAAAAACCATGTGAGTTGCAGACGAAATCTAAAAAGGTAATATACGAATTGCGGACACAAATATAAGATACTAATTGCGGACAAATTTCCTATTATTATTTTTGATATAGCAGTCGTGGACGTTGGGAAATTACTGTATGATATTAACGATTGAGATTGTGTCGATGCTTTTGAAACCGCTGCCTATGTTTAATCAGTTTATCGACAACCATACTCGCTTATGTTCGTTTATTTTCTGTATAAAAATTTATAGTGAAAAACTTAAAGAGTTACATGTGATTGACGGGTTTAAGTTCCGTTTTAATCTCGTAATGAAAAATGAAATTCAACGGTGGGCGTGTACAAATAAAATGTGTAATACATTTTTAAAATTTAATCACCCTAATATATATCAATTGATCGAGGCCTTCAATGAAGTACAGACTATTAGCTATATGAAAATGAATTGTTTTGCTGTACAAAAAAAAAAAAACTATTGAAAAGGAGGCATTTATTAGCAAACAAATGTTGCAATATTCACGTGGTGAAATCAGTAGAATATCATATATACAGGCTGTTTCAAAAAAATGTTTACTACAAGATCTATAAAAATTATGACAATAAATAATTCAACAATTATTTACATTATTTTTAAAATAACGATTGCTCTTGTGCAAGACCCAAATATTTTTAACCCCACCTACCAATTATTTGGGTAGCTCGTCCTAAGTCCTGAAAAAGTGGCGAAGGGAATTATTTGTGTCCACAACGGATGGTTTTCGGGAAAAGGGGAAAATTGTATGTTATACCTACATTACTAGTGTTAGGTACCTACCTACATTGTTTTTTTTTTTTAAATTTTTTAAAAGGTTATTTAAAAAATAAAATATTAAGGAAATCTTTAATTTATATAATACATTACTATTATTACATTATTATTCTTTTTTTTAATATTGTTTATGAGGTCAGTTTTCTAATAAAATAAAATAATAAAGAAAGATTTATTTTATATTATACATTACTAGTGTTAAATTGTTATTCTTCTTTAAAATAATTGTTTTAAGGGTTAGTTTTCCAATAAAATAAAATATTAAAGAAAGATTTAATTTATACACTATTAGTGTTTCATTATTTATTTATTTTTTTTTTATTGTTTTAAAGGTTTTGTAATAAAATATAAAGAAAAAATATATTTTTTGTCTTACAATACTATAGTACCTATATTGTGTTTTTTATTGAATAAAAAAGCATCCATTGTGAAAAAATAAGAAGAAAACATTAGGAAACTAATAATTCGACAACATTTTAATTAATTTGTATGAAAGCCTAAAGGATAGGAAAGTAAGTTTTCTTTAGTTATAAAAACAGTAAAAATCCAATCATATTATATTATTTTTGAATAGCAAATAGTTACAAGTCAAAATAAAAGAAAAGGCACCAGTCATTTTACAGTTATTTTGTTATGCAGATAGTCATAAGTCATCAAACTAAAAGTAAAACATTATTTTGATTTTTTTTAAATATTTAAAAAAATCTATAAAAATATAATTATAAGAAATGTGAAAACAGAATAAAAAAAGATAATAAATATTAGATTTTATTAAGTTTTAAGCTCCTCCTGAAAAGTAGCTATTTTTGACAAAAGCCCCTTTTCCCGAAAACCGTCCATATTTATTTACTAACGTGGTTTTTATTAAAAAAAATTTGTATTATGACAACGAAACTCGTGTCCGCAATTGTTATGTTATAATTCTTGACCTGAATAATTCATCCGCAACTAGTATGTGTCCTAACTTACTACAAGATACCTATTTAGGTTGGGGAGAGAGGTCGTAGGTTGTATTATACCGAAAAAATGACTTAACGAGAATAACACCCGGGTTTTGCAGAATTGTCGGATTTTGATCATTATTTTTGTATCTGAAAGAAAATGACTTCCTTTTCTTAATACGTGAGTTTGTACATTAATAATGTGAAATAATAATTCCGGAGAATAAATAAAACCATTTAATAAGTCATATAAGAACATAATATCCGCAACATTTCTCCTCGAATCACAAGACGTGATCCCCAATTGGAAAATTTGCAATTTATATGATTCTCTTGTGATTGGTATATTTAATCTGAAGCATAATAGTTTTAGAAACTTATACTGAACATTTTCAATTAGACTGGTATATGAAAAATAATGTGGTGACCAGACAATTGATCCAAACTCAAGATGAGACCTAACCAGGGAAAAATATAAAGTTTTTAAGGCATTGGTATTTTTAAAATTTATCGTGCTTTTATTAAGAGGACGCCACACGGGCAAACGAAACCATGCAATGACCAAGAGAATGCGCTGTTAGGTGTTTTCGTGATCCGCAAGCACGCGACGTTTAAGCCGCGCCCACTACTCGCAGCCGCGTATCGACCGACGCGTTGTCGAGTTCGGGAGCGTTGTTTATTATCTTATGAACGTTCGTCCGTGACATATCCCGTCGAAATAAAATTCATACACGTAAATGCATTGCCGCCATATTCGCTCTTATACCTACACTAACCATCTTTTAATTAAAGCCGCTGTCAGCCCAATTGTATACCTATTTGTATATAACAATATTATGTTGGCTAGAAAATCTAGTTTTTACCGTACAAATTGTTGTACAAACATTTTAAGTATTCGAGTTAACAATATTTTACGTACAATAACTTACGATTTACATTTAGTTTGTAAAAATATCAATATAGACATACCAATTATGTATTTAATTTTTATCTTACTAATATTTTCGTATGTATTACCATAATACCGTTGATTATAATAAATATTATTATTTTTATTATTCAATGACAATAATATAACATTGACGCTAAACCAGCGAAAATACCGTACAAAAACATTCCAATTTTGTTCCAATAATACGGCTAAGTAAATGGTTTTAGAGCAAAATACCTCAATTAAAAGTTGTAGAGGAGTTATATCTGGTGAGACGTATAAGACTCGATTTTTGATATTTTAATTTTTTTATACCAATTATTCATAAGTAAAAAAGTGAAAATAACTGAAAACGATTTTATCGATTTTGAGAATGAAATATTGAAAATCGATTCTTATACGTCACCCTGTATAACATTTCTTCTTACATTTTAATCAGCCATAAATAAACTACTTGAATTTGATTTACACTTACTGAGTTGCAATCTAAGAAAGTAAAAGATAAAAAACCATTCAACTTGTCTAAATTATATTCAAATATTTTATTAATTTATTTTTATAATCATTTTTTTTTTTATGTGATCTGGTTCTCGAATATCTGATTTCAGCATTCTTTTAGGGAATTGTGGATCAATAATTTCGGGTAATAAAGACTTCATATAAAACCTTAAAGTATAAAATATAATATGTTGATAAAATAGATAAAATATAATATAAATATATTATAGGTAAAATAGATAAATCATGATTCACTAGTAATCGTGACTCGTGTATTCGTGTGAAAGATTATCTAATTACTCAGAGTGTACAAATTATTAAAAAAAAAAAAGGACTCACGTTTGTAGCGGTTCAGACATTTTAGAATCCCAAAAGTATTCGACCAGTACGGTGGGATTTTTAGATTCTGAGTGGAACGATGAATATGTATTGATTTTACAATGATGTGTGTTTTTATATTTTTTTATTTTTTATTTTTGTGT